GAAAAGAGAGCGGGCACTGGCACACTTAGGGCAGTGCACTCACCATGACGTCTCCATGAGGTGATTACCCACGACAGCAGTCACACACATTAAGTGCTTAGCTCCAAACCCCTGTAGGAAGCCTGGATCCATGCGCGGGATGGAGAGCTGACATTCATTTGAAGGACATTTTGTGGAATTACAGAAAAAGCCCAAAGACTTTCTACTGAACAGATTATTTCATGTTTCAACATTTCTCTGTGGTGGGAAATCTTGACCAATGGCACTTTTCCAGTGTTGATGGCTAACAGACATCACACGCATTATATGATGATGGTTATAAAAAGACCAACCAATAGAATGCAAAGATAAAACTGAAACCTAATTCTAAAGAGGTGTAGCTATAAGGAAAGACTTCACCTCAACACACAGAGCAACCCATAATAGGAAGCCCAATATCAGAGTGCCTCAAACCTAGCTTATGATATAGATGCTTTAAATATAGAGTGTGGTCTTTAGTGAGTGGTGTGGTAGGGTTGTGGCGCACTGAGCACAGCTAGGTGGAGCCTCCGGTCTTAATCATGCTCCACTTGGCTTCAACTCTCGTGTGAAGACACGCCAACACCGTCTGCTGCCACTTATGTGCACATGCTGCACTTGTCTTTGAGATTTCAATTGAAAGCTGAACAATGCTCAAAATGTGGAGCTATCCTATTAGTGACTTGTTTATTTATTTTCATACTAGATACTTTAGTTCTGGAAATAATCTAGCAAATGTAAGCAAAAAATGTATCAAAAATGTGAGTAACAGTACATGTGTAGACAAAATACTAAAAAATATTAACACTAAACCAATATAATGTTATACTACAAAGTTATACTAAATACATGTGTGGCATTCATTTTCAGTCAATAATTACGCAGAAGTTACAGTTGTTAAATGAATGAGTGGGATCAATGGGATCATTGCCTGTGTAAAAGATGAGAGCTAATTAATTGCAGACAATTGGCTGACTCTATGTAGGCCAGTTCCATGCGACTAATCAAAAGTCCCACTCCACACTTGACTTGTCCATTTGAGCAGCAAATGAAAGGGCAGGAAGGCTGGCTGTGTGAGGCGCTCTACCCTTCCCCCTCCTGAACAGTAGCAGATGACAATAGCTTCTAAACCAGGGCACGCCAGACATCCTGACAAAGGCAGGCTCCTCCCAAGCTGCTGAGTCTCCTCTCCCAAATAAACACAGGCGCTGAGAGAGGGCAAGAGTCGAGGATGTCCAGAGTCGCAGTAAATGCTGTTAGTCGTCCCAGGAGCTAAACACTGTGCCATGAGCTGTAAAACGCATGCTGGACAAGGAAAATCCTATCACACGCTACAGCACTCCAATCACATTCTGTCCAATTAAAGCTACTCACACAAAATATTGCTTTCATATATTTAATCATCAGTGCAACCTCTGAGTAGCAAAGCGGCTAAATCCCCCTCTGAAGCACTATTGGAAGAGGCTTAGCAGGTACTCACATGTAAGCAGGCGAAAGAGGTGAGGACCGGGATGTCTTAAGGACTGGCACTGGGAATTTCCAGCTGACGGGCGAACCGCTTTTCCATTTCAACGGCATGTTGTTGTCACCAGGTCGGTGCAAGAGCAGAACCAACAGCAAAGACCATGTCCAGGAGAAGGCTTCCAATGCAGTCTTCCATCCCACTCTGCCCACACCATTTAAAGGGGAGGGCAGCTGTGGCAGCAGTAGATGCACAAATTCACTGGTGGAGGCAGTGCAGGTTCACACAGGCTGAGTTTAGCGGCAGCACAGAGAAACCAATAGAGTGTATCCACCACCGCTGTCCTGCTGCATTCACAGCTCTCTCATGGAAGGAGGGGGAAGCAGTCCTCCCTCCCAACAGCCTCGCAGGGTTCATGAATAGCCCAGTAGCTAAGCAACAGTGCCACCTTGTTAAAGCAGTTGTGATTACACTAGTGGCATGCTGTTAAAATAGACATGCACACTCAGAACCAAATAGCAGGCACACATTAACAATTTGTATTTTTACACTTTTGCCATTTTCAAGGATCCAATGTCTATTTACATCAAGTCATATTAAAGCTCATCTCTACATGTTTCAGGCAAAATGAATATAGTACATGCATTTAATGCATAATTTAAGTAAGATGTAAGATGTGCAATGTATGGGAACTGTGCAATAATGGGAACTGTGCAATAATGGGAACTGTGCAATAATGGGAACTGTGCAATAATGGGAACTGTGCAATGAATGGGAACTGTGCAATGAATGGGAACTGTGCAATGAATGGGAACTGTGCAATGAATGGAACTATATAATGAGTGGAGTGTGCAATATTTTAGTGTCTGGCCCCCTGTGACCCCAGCCCTTGGGACAACGGATGGAAATTAGCCTTAGGCTACAATCCGGTGTGTTTACATTCATGTTGTCATGTTTGTTCATTAACATGCTCTGTCCCAATCAAATAAATAAATAAATAAAATAAAATAAATAAAATAAGATCCCTCCCATCTTTCATCTGTTTGCTTTTTTGTTTGCAAGCAAAAGCAATAAAATTTTAAATTTCAGGGTCGTAATGAGGAGAATATTGATACAGCATAAGATGTTACTACATTAGTTATCATTATACAATAGTGGTCTTAGGTGTATTACTTATTACGTCAGATATCCCAATATGATACAACCACAAATAGTATTTATCTCAACTTTAAGAGAACTGCTGATATTTCTTTACATAATCTGAAAATATAGATGTTGTCAAATGTTTTGGAAAATCAAGCCTTTTAAGAATAAACAGTACAGGTCAAGAACTAACTTTTTTAAATACTATTTGTTTGTCATCTACAATGATGGTATAATAAATTAGAAAAGTTGTAAAAAAAAATTATACAGACACTAATTGGTACTAAAACCATTTTTGAAACACTCAATTGAACAAGTATCAATACTGACAAAGAGCCGACAAACTTGGTAATTTTTAAAAGAACTAAGATCATATGGTAGTATGAAAAGATTCTGAAATGTTCTTATTATTATGGGGCAGCAGTAGCTCAGTAGGGGCAGCAGTAGCTCAGTTGGTAGAGCGTTTGTCCACTGATCTGAAGGTTATTGGTTCAAATCCCACTCTTGACATAAACATCATTGGTTGAGCGGTCAGATCCACTGAACCACAGGTTGGCTGGTATGATTCCAGCTCCCACAGATGAAGGCTGTCATTGTGTCCTTGGGCAAGACACTTAACCCACCTTGCCCCTAGTGTCTGCGTACACTGGTGTATGAATGGGTGAGTGGTTCCTTTGCTTTGAGTGCCTTGAAGGTGGAAAAGCTCTATAGAAAAATGTGACCATTTATTATTATTGTGTCATTGAAAACTGTAAACATAAGTTTGAAATATCAGTATTGTGACAAAAATATTTAATATTTAGACATTCAATTTGAAGCAAATGCACTCACCCTTTTAGCTATGCAAAGCTGAATCTAATGTGGAAATTAGAAAAAAGCAGAGATAGCCGTTATCTTACTAAAAACAGATGCAGTCTCCTCATCAAACTGTTCCACTGTATAATCAATTAGATTTGACATATTACAGGGCAAGACATAAACCACAGCTGCACTGAGAAGAGATGACTTGCACTGCATCCTCAATAAAGATTTGTCAATAACAATTTACATCAAAAGCTGTAGTTTCACATCAAAAGTTCAAGAGTGAGATGTATATCCAAGAGTCAAAGATCTGCAAGATGGAAACCCTATTTATTACACTGGCCCAATGCCCAATTGAGAAAATATCTCAAGCCAAAATCAGGAATGCCAAAGAAAACCCACACATGCAGCCATAATCGGACTACAAGTAACAGCTCTATTCAACAATGTTCATCAGCTTCTTTTCTCTGTCAGGCTCAAATGGAGAAGGCACCAATACCAACAAAGTGGTCACACTTTAGTGTCTTAATTTAACCTGGAGCATAATAAAGTATAAGTTGATCTGTTACTGCTTCGTTTTAATGTACTGTGGACATAAATAACTTCAAACTATGACAAATTATTTGTGATGGTAAGCAAACCCCTTGAAATAATATTTAAGTCACTAGCTAGCATTAAGCAACTGTATATTTTTTTTTTATTAAACACAGTCAACTTTTAAGCTGAAAAACTATAAATATGGGTCAACAGACATGAACCAGCTTTATAAAATTTGTAGTTTTTTCCATTTTGTATTTTTCCTTGACTTAGAGTCTTAAACCATCTAAAGGTTTGTTCCACGCTACTGGTGACTAGGACTATTCCCACCAGACTAAAAATGTCCTACTTGTACTGGTAATTCCTACTGGGAACTCTGAGATGGCTGAGGGACTCCTACTTCATACAATGGAGATCACCACAAAGAAGTGGTTAACTACCACATAAATGTTGTAAACATGTGTAACTGTTATTTAACATGTTAGAGACATGCATATAATGTTTATATCCCAGATCAACAGGAAGGTGGCATGTTTCCTTATGCCTGTAGTAAGTCGCCATGGTAACAGATTTCAAACAGAGTGCAAAGTCACATGAAAGAAAACTACAAATAATAAAATAATGTGCCATAATAACATAACAATAAAGGGAAGATAACAGATACAAAAGGTATGTGCAAACGTCAGTAAATGTGATTGTAGACACACAGAAATATGGAAATAGTGCTGATGAAGACAAATATTGCTTTGTGTAATTTTAGAAACCCTCCTTGTTTGATAGATGGAAGTTTACCTTTTCCTATCTTGACCAGGTCATTTGTTTAGTTGAAAATGTGGTGATTTTAATTAAAAATTTATTAATTATTTAATATGCTCTCTAATAACTGGTCCTTAAAATTCCTTTTACAATAAATTACACGGGAAAAAATTATAACACTTCCACTGCACACATTGTACACCGTTCACTACTTGTTGGAAGTACATCTCTGACAGAATGTAATTTCAATATATAAACAATACACAACAATCAAAGTTCATACCTGTCATGAAGTCCAACAGGCATGGTTTCCCCTCTGTGAACAGGGTGCTCCATCCCCTCGCCAAAACCACACCTCTGAAATACAATCACATTTTGTACATTTTGTTATCTGTCCTCAGAGAGTATATGGTTAACAAAATAAATAACCATTTGTATCATGACAGAAATTCAAAAAGTTATAGTGACTAAAAAGTATGGATAGTTTCTAAAAAAAGGAGTCTTGAAATTAAGGGAGTTGTAAGTTGTTGCTCCACATGGATCTGGGTTAATTGAATCTAATAATAAGTGTGAAGCTTAGGAAGAACCAGCCAGAAATAGGCCTATTAAACCCTTTATTATAAAGTAATAGAAACTAAAATAAGAATTTATGACAACAAACTATAACAACAACCAAGTTTTTATCGAACTGTGTAAACTCAACATATGAACTGTTGCTGTTCAATGTCAACATTGTTAGATTGCGCATAAGCTAAAGCAAATGCCAAACGTATGAGAAAACTATCTAGAGGTCTAGTTAATTTGTCAGCTGGCCCAAGGCTGTCCTTGTTGGACATGTGAGTGTTTATAAGCCGGCCTCACCACCTGCACTGTCACTGAGGCAGCTCGGCAGGCTGGAGATCCGAGCTCTGCTAATTTTATGGCCATGTTGCTGTGCACTGTCTCCAGAGGGAAGAGGCTAACTGGCTAAGCTAACTGGCTAAGCTAACCTTTACATTGAACATAATCTAATTAAATAGAATGACGACTGTCTAGTTTTCTCGTACCACTTTAACACGCATTTGTACACTGTGATCGTTTAGTTAGGATTACGAACAAACGACTGAAATGCTAAGATAAGTTTGTTGCGCTAGTTAGGAGTTGGTGTGGTTTCTTTGCCACCACCTTCAAATAAGCATTAGAAACAAGCTGACATGTATTCGTTAACCTTGGTATGACTTATAAAACGTCTTATTCGTTAGATTTAGATGAAATGTGTTTTGTAAAGTTCTATATAAATAAATCTGTACCTTCAGCGGAGAGAGCGATAACTAGCGTCCTTGTTTTCCTCCCGAGCCCCTCAAATCCACTTATTCTGCTAAGACCTCCTTCCTTATTTCATCCAATGTACTTGAGGCTTACTGAGAAACACTGAACATCTTAACTTTCTATTGGCGGAAGTCTATGGCAATCTTTTGCCATTGGCTCAAAACTTCCGTTACTAAATAAAGTGTCTCTAAGGGAGAATTCCTATAAACCTGTAACAAGTAGTCTCGTTGTGGCAAATGGCAATAATATAATATATAGGCTATCTGGTGGCAATTATATAGCTTAACACCAAACTACAACGTTTAGGCATTTAGCCTACATCTTGTGTGTTGAATAATCATCACTACTTATTAGCAGTTAATTATATTATATGTAAGAAAAAAAATCGGTCCCATGCTTGTTTGATAATGTAGCTAGTGTACTTAGGTCAATAAGAATAAGGCAGTATTGTTTTTGATGTATTTTACCAACTCTAATCAGTGTTGCTTATAACTAAGTCTTGCATTTCATGCAATATTATGTTCTTTCTTGTGTTGGTGGTGAAAGTGAAAAAAGTTTAAAGCATGAGCAAAATGATTACCAGTTAAACTTCCAAGTTGTTCTCATATATTTTATACATATATTTTATTACATATAATTTGTATTTCGGTCTATAGATTTATTGCTCCAAGTATGTATTTTGTTTGTAAATAACAATTACTTGTGGAATTTCCATTTAACTTGTTAGCCCTCCATAGTATTGTCCTTAAAGTAAACAATCAGATATAACAATATTCAAATATTAATGGCCTCATATTTCTGTAGTAATAAACTATTAATAAGATTATTATTTTTTCACTGTCAATCCACTATCCATGTACACAATCTTACTGACAAACCTTTATTGATATCTTTATTCATATTACTCTATATTTCCTATGGACCACATGTCGCCCTGAGTTTTTATTGGCCATAGGCCTCCTGCTGAATTGGTCTGATGACTCTACAAATGTATGTAATTTTATCAGAACCTTAATATCACCACCGCACTGTAATACAGTCTGGAAATTAATGTTTCAGCCTTATTAAACTGTGGCTCTGTCAAAGCTGGGTTAAATGCACCTATCTGAATGAGTCACTGTTTGGACCACTGGTCTGTGTCCCTCCACTTCGAATATATGGTTCATTGTGTGGCTCTTCGTGACAATAATTTGGCCATAAACCAGGATAACTTAATCAACACTAGACAGAGCTAAACAACTAAATGAGGGCAGGAGTTCACGTAAGATGTGGTCCTTCTGTTTGGAGTCAGTGCTTCAGTCCGTCCACTAGAGGGCGTAAGTATCTGAATCCCAGTAGAAGAGAAAGAGGCGCGTGCCCCGCCTTTGTGTCACTCCTCCTCTGCTCCTCCTCCTCTTCTCTTTGCTCTTTGGTTGATGTGTTTTTTCCGTCTCTGTTTTGTTTATGCGGGGATCACTGGCTCCGTTAGGTAGATTGACAGCTCCACTACACCGTAAAGACAGCTGCTTATGATATCCTGATTGGACTGCCCAACCTGTGCAAACTGAGTCTAAACAGAACCCGCACCGGTCAGTTGTACGTGGTTGCTGTTGATACGGTTTGTTAGTTTAGCAGAAGCTAACGCACTCTGCGACTATGACATGACAAGAAGACAAGCGCAGTTTAACGGCATACGGCTACACACCCTCCGGACTGTAAAGGTTGTTTTCTGAAAGAAGAAGCTCTATGTTTCTAACGCATAAGAAAGGGTAAATTATAGACATCTGCCTGCAAACTTGGATTAGCTTGGTGCTAAGTTCTTGCTAGCATGGCGTCTGATACAAGTGACACTGAAGAGTTCTACGATGCTCCAGAGGACGTGAATTTTACCCCGTCTCCAAAAGTGTAAGAAATGCATTAAATTATTGTTTTGAGTTTGAGTAACTTGCACTTTAGACCGAGTCATTCTGCTCAGTAATAGAAAATGTTGGTCCAAAGCAGGATCTCGTTATTATTTGTTTGGATATTACAATAGTTTAACGATCGATGTCCATTATAATTTACATAGTTATATAGTAACCTCTGACCGGTGCGCATGCTTTTGCTGAGCTGTTCTTCTCTGTGTTGTAGGTCACCTGCAAAGTTTGTACTTCCCTCACCCAAGGTATGTTTGTTTAAACCAAGTTTCTGCTTATCAAAACTTTGTGTACTGCAAAGTGAACCTTGCTAGTTGACGTTTAGTAGTCAGGGATTAAAGTGAAAAGTAGTGGATGAATATTGTAGTTATTCATCATATTATTTGCTGCCATTTTTGTTTACAGTTATAATTCATGATTTTGCGTTAGATTTGTTATTCCCTATTATTAAATAGGCACATTAAATAAAATTAAAGCACAATGTTTTACTTTTGTCTTCCTACTCAACAGCTTGTACAGAGATCTCCTAACACTGTAGATGAGGATAGCAGCAAATCTACTCCGGCAGCTGCAATTCAACAAGATGACTCTCTTCAGGTAGATCTTTTGTCTCAAAAAGGACATGAAATGAAAAATGCTGTATATTTTAAACACATACATCAGTGAACACAAATATGATCTTACCACAGTATGAAAGCATGTGTTTGTTCTCTCTCTTCATTCTTCTTCAATAGATCATTGACAGTATTATAGAAGAGAGTCAAAAGGGAAGTGTTGGTGAGGTGGCTCAGCTGCTAGATAAGCTCAGTGTTGATGTAAGAGTGGAGCCAGAGCAAGATGACGCGAGTGAAGCTCAGGAAGTTCCTGTGGAGAAAGTGGAGGCATCAGGGAATCCTCCACCTGTGGGGAGAGAGGAGGAACCAGCACAAGGTGCAGAGACAAACGGAGCATGCTCAGACGCTGCACCTGAACCCATGGACATCCCAGAGTCTGCAGGAGCCTCACAGGAGTGTGTTCAGCCCCCAGATATTACCAGCACTTTAGGACAGCCTGATGGGACACGCACAGGTCCAGAGTTGGAGCCCAGACCTGCAGACCTCTTAGACCAGGTGCCACTCTCAGACAATCCTGCAGACTCTGATCCATCTGGGCCTTCTAAACCTCCACGACAGTTCACAGTGGAGCCGGACATTGTAGCTAGCACCAAGAAGCCTCCTCCCTCACGTCCTCCGCCTCCCAGTGGAGGTCCACCCCCTCGGCCGCCTCCGCCATCCAGACAAACTCTGCCTTCGAAAAAGTCTCAGGAATCTCTAAGGCCAAGTGGACTTGAGGGTAAAACTTTGAAAATAATTATTTTAAAACAGTGGGTGCTTTATTTGAAGGTTGTAGTGCTTAATTAACCTACTGCAAGCAAATATGTGTAGTTTGAAGCCTCTGAATTATGTAATTTATTCAGTGTTACTTTTCAATTTTTGTTATACCACTTATATTATTCATAAACAAATGTTTCAACATATAGATATGTATTAGTAATATTAATTTTAAAATACAAGTTTTGTCTAAAGATCTATGTTATACTCAGTGTCTGCAGTGAGCCCTCTCAGTCCTGAAGTCCCAGAGCCCTCTGGCCTGTTGTCTCCCAGCAGCACAGTGAGGAGTCTGACGAAAGACCTGCAGCATTCTCTAGATTTAGCCAGTGCCACAAGTGGGGACAAGGTGGTCACGGCACAGGTAAGAGGGAGTTTATTTATGATATAAAGTGATGTATAAAATGGTTATTGTTATTCTTTTCTCTGAAGGAAAATGAGGATGAACAGCCTTGCTCTCAAAGTGGAAGTCCATCCCAAGGCCCTCAGCGTCCACGATCAAACTCTGGAAGAGAACTGACTGATGAGGTTTATTTCTTTGTTTTATTTACAGTTCAGCAACGTAACATTTAATGCATTACATTACTAAATTACACAGTGTTATCTGACATCTGAAACCAGGAAATTCTGGCCAGTGTGATGATCAAGAATCTGGATACTGGAGAAGAGATCCCTTTAATCCAGGCAGAAGAGAAACTACCAGCTGGAATCAACCCACTCACTCTGCACATCATGAGGAGGACCAAGGAGTACATCACGTGAGCAGAAGCAATATCATCATGTATAGCACAATATATCTTCCTTTGGAGGGAAGATTTGTTATATTTGGATATTTTCCTCTTTAGAAATGATGCTGCACAGTCAGATGATGATGACAAACCATCTGCTCCAATGACAGACACGGATGGAGGGAAACTGAAACAGAAAACGTAAGAAGTGGTTTGTTAATTTAATTGTATATATTTTTACGACACTTAAACTTATACAATGGTTACCTAAGGACTCAGTTAAAGAAATTCCTGGGCAAGTCTGTGAAGAAAGCCAAACATCTTGCAGAAGAATATGGAGAGAAGGCAGTGAACAAAGTTAAAAGTGTGCGTGATGAAGGTACAATTGTATTTCCACAAAAAGGATTTAATGTGACGTAACCTTTTATTGAATGTTGTTTGTGCTGGTCTCAGTGTTTCACACAGACCAGGATGATCCGTCCTCCAGTGATGATGAGGGAATGCCATATACCCGACCTGCTAAATTTAAGGCTGCACACAGCTTAAAGGGACCCTTTGACTTTGATCAGATTAAAGTTGTGCAGGATCTCAGTGGAGAACACATGGTTAGCAAAACTCTTTACTTTAGATATTTTCAAGGTTGTATCTTCACTTAGAAGACTTGTTCTGTTCTTTTAAGGGTGCTGTTTGGACCATGAAGTTTTCTCACTGTGGGAGGCTGCTTGCAACTGCAGGGCAGGATAATGTAGTTCGTATTTGGGTGCTAAAAACAGCGTTTGACTATTTTAATAACATGAGAATAAAGTACAACACTGAAGGTAAACTTATTTGTCAGTTTTTGCATTGCATCATTATTTATTTATTTTTTAAATTCTGTAACACTTGTTCAGGTCGTGTTTCGCCCTCTCCGTCTCAGGAAAGTCTATGCTCTTCTAAATCAGACACAGATCAAACTGTAAGGACATTTTGTAAGATCACAAATGTAGTAACTCCTAAATGCCAGTGTGAACATAATTTTTTTTCACATTTCAGGCAAGCTGTGTCCCAGAAGACTTAGAAACCGATGACAGGAGTGCTCCTTTCCGCCAGGTTCCCTTTTGCAAGTACAAAGGTCACACAGCTGATCTATTAGACCTGTCCTGGTCAAAGGTGACGCACGACCTCTTCTGTTTATTAAATACTGTATATTACCCATGTAGTCTAACATGTTTTTGTTGTTGTAGAACTTTTTCTTACTTTCTTCATCCATGGATAAAACAGTAAGATTATGGCACATATCAAGGAGAGAGTGTTTGTGCTGTTTCCAACACATAGATTTTGTTACAGCCATAGCTTTCCATCCAAGAGTAAGTCTGATCATTTCATTTATATTACATGATTCGAGACAATGATACATTTGTTAAATGGTCTTGTTTGCACAGGATGACAGATATTTCCTTAGTGGTTCTCTTGATGGAAAGCTACGACTCTGGAACATTCCTGATAAAAAGGTGGCATTGTGGAACGAGGTGGATGGTCAAACTCGCCTCATCACTGCTGCCAACTTCTGTCAAAACGGAAAGTATGCAGTGATTGGCACTTACGATGGGCGATGCATTTTCTATGACACAGAGGTAACAAAATCTGCTTACCTAATATTATGTTTCTATATAATACTTAACTTTTATCTTCATTGTGAATCAATAGCGCTTAAAGTACCACACCCAAATTCACGTGAGGTCGACAAGAGGTAGAAATAAAGTGGGACGCAAAATCACAGGAATTGAACCTTTACCAGGAGAGAATAAGGTGCATATTGTGGCATTAATTATATTGACATTCAGTTCTTCAGATACTAAAATCAGTCTTTTGCACATCCACAGATTTTGGTTACCTCCAATGATTCCCGCATACGCCTTTACGACTTGAGGGATTTGTCTTTATCCATGAAATATAAAGGTTATGTCAATAGCAGCAGTCAGATCAAAGCCAGTTTTAGGTGAGCATTATAGTTACTGTTACTACTATGTCTTGTATCTAAATCGCAATTGCAATTCAGAATTTTTGGTAGGTAACTTTGCAATGTTCCCACAGCCACGACTACTCATTCATTGTGAGTGGCTCAGAGGATAAATACATCTACATATGGAGCACTTACCACGACCTGAGCAAATTCACCTCTGTACGTCGTGACCGCAATGACTTCTGGGAAGGAATCAAAGGTAATACTGTTAGAGAGATTTATGTTGTAATCTAAAAGCATTTGGGAACTGGCATGTAACCTCTATGTTCATTTTAGCACACAATGCAGTGGTCACCTCAGCTATTTTCGCACCACACCCGGGGCTTATTGTCCCTCAGGAGAGCGCTGCAGAGAAACCTGAAGCTGAGTGCAAAAGTCTAGACTCTACAGACTCTGAGACCATACCCTCAGGTAGCCTCTGACCATTACTCTATAAAGTACATTATGTCAGTGTTTTTGTAGTTTGGTTAACATAATCTTTTCTTTGCAGGTGCACTCAAAACAGATCACACTGAGGTTTTGCTTTCAGCAGACTTCACTGGAGCCATAAAGGTTTTCATCAATGTCAAAAAGTACTGAGCACAGTACAACCTGAACTCTGCTACTCAACGGTTGGCTCTCAAAAAGAGCAGATCGTGAAACAACAGGGGAAATAATCCCTTGCCACATTTTCCCAGGTTTCAATTCCTTTGAACTGTGAACTGTTCTGACATTTTGAACAGTGTTGTCGGATCTAAATGTTTAGACATGGTTGTAAGTGTATGATTGTGACTAAACAAGTGTGAAGACTAATTGAATGGGCACCTTACTATTTTCCCTCTTTTCAAAAGATATATATTTCAAATCTACTTGTTTTGTGTTTAAATGATGTGAGGTGGTGGTGATTTGGAAAAAAAAGTACCTGTTAAATGTGCCTACAAAATCCAGTTTTTAAATTCTGTCCTAACATTATCAAACTAAAGAAACCAATAGTGTATGAAATATGAGCAATTCATCATAAATACTGTAGTTTCTGTATCTGAATTACTTTTGATACAAACCTTCAAAAGCACATTTCCTGATTAAAGAACTGTACTTGTGTAATGTTGCATACTCACTGCTTTTGTAAAACAAATGCTTTATCAGTTTCCTCAATAAAAGTTCTCACCAACGGGATCTTTCAGTACATAGTTTTACTTAAAAATGCATCAATGTCACAATCATACTTTTGTTAGACATACATTCATCACAACTGTAGTTTTTGTTCTTAGCTTTCACAGCTTTGCAGCAACATGTCTGATTATCCCTAAAAAAAACATTAAAACAGAAATCTAGAGAATTGTTGAAACTTCATTATACAAAATAGTGCTGGAAAACAATGTAACGCAGTAGCAGTTGCTTATTGAGGAGCACTGTGTGTCAACTGTGGTTAAAACGGAAGTCAATGTTTGCTCTTCTTTGATTTTTTATGTGAGCGATGTGGTGATCGAGACCGGGACCTCTCTCGTCTCTGATTTGGAGATGAGGATCGAGAGCGCTTGGAACGTTTAGGGGACCTCGACCTGGCCAAGAAGCAGAAAATATTAAACATTTTAAGAGAAAACTACAGTGCTACTATATAATACAAACAATGTTTTACCTTGATCTGGACTTTGTTCTCCTCCCATCTGAATCCTTGCTTCTGCCTCGTCTACTACTAGTGTCCTCCCTCTTTCTGTCGTCTTTTGATTTCTCTTTTGACACTGGCGTCTTGCTATTTACAGTTTCTTTGTCAAATTCCTAGGATTAAGATATAAATACATTTCTGAAAATATACTGTATGAACCACATTCGCATGGCTGGGAAGTATCTAAGCCTACCCTCTGTAGCAGCTTGTTCCTGTAGTATTCCACTTGCTGTTGTATGCTCATCCCAGACTTCCTCTGCCTCTTCCCTGACTCCAGTTCATCCTGCATCTTCAAAACTTTCACCTTAAGAAGAGAAATTATTTTGGTAAGACAGTATTTATTGTGAAACAGGAACACATTGTAACCAGGGAGAACTTACAAATATATCAATTGTGAAGTGATCTAACCAACAATATTTTACAAAACCAGTCTGCCTTAGGCTTAGAAGAATATTCTAGTATCCAGATACTTGCCTCCAACTCCCTCAATCGCTTCCTCTTGGTCTCAGACATTTGGAAACTTCTGAGAGAGCTCTGGAAGTCTGCACTTTCATATTTGGAAGAAGAGGAGCAAGAGTCACTGCTGTCACTGTCTGAGTCATCCGTACCACCATTATTTTTCCTGCAGTTGGGAGAAAGCAGACATATACATTTGTGTAAGCTTTATTTAAACCCTTTAAAATGACATTTGCAATGTCCATACCTTGTTTCATTATCACTTTCTTGTTCCTCCACACTGTCCCACTTTGAGGCCGTCTTAACTAAAAAGTAAATATAAAGGTTGTAAACATTCTTATTTGAAGAGGAACAGTCAAAGAAGAAACACGACCTTGGTTACCTGATGAAAACATCCCGGAATCAGTCATCTGCTCCCATTTAGACAAAGGCACTCTGCTGTGCGGACCATCCTCCACTGTATACACAAACAACCTATTCTTTAAAAAACATTCAGATCTGATGCAAAATTGCTTTAAAAAAAAAAATACACGTGCATGCAACTAATTTAAAAATGCTTACAGGGAAGCCCATCAATGTCATCAATAGAGGCCCCTAAAGGAACACCATCCAAATCGTCAACCGGCTCTCCATCCAGAGGGTCCCAGCCCAGTGGGCAGCCGTCCAGGTCATCTGCTCTGTTCAACGGTAACCCATCTATGGGAGCACCATCCAGATCACAGGGACCCTCCTGAGGGACAGAGACACCCCCCTGTGTCATTTCGAACCCTAACATATATTCAATTGCATATGGTGTCTAAAAACTTTGCTCACTTTTGCTGTTTCTATGACCTCCTCTTCTGGTTTAGTGAAGCCCAAAAAAATGTTTTGTAGATAGATTAAATATTGCTCAGGGTATATTGCCCACTCCTCCCATGCTCTGAAACAATTCATGACTTTTTGCTGTGGAGAAAAACATGAAACGTCTTTAGCCACTGTCAAGACTTTTGATCTTAAATTACATAATACCTTAAACTGTTCTGCCTGCAGCCTGGCTTGTATATTCTTGTGTGATGCACAGAGATCTCCACATATCTGGATTAGCTTTGATTCAAAACTGAACAAAGTCAAACAGACATTAGGACTTTCAAATAAAAATAATTATTGTGAGGAAAATGTATTCACCCAGAAAAAGATCACTTACTATTTACGATAATATGATGCACCAGCTACTTTGGCACAGGAGTTGTGTAATAAGTCTGACACAAGATATAATCGGGCAATCTAAAAATAAATACAGTAAATACACACCACATTATAATGCAATACAACATACACAAATGAATGAAATGAAAGTCACTTGCCTTTTTTTGAAGAGGCGTCTGAAGCATTGATAAAGATTCCGCAATGAGCCCCACCACCTCCTCTGCAGCCTCCGCTCTTTGCAGACAGAACACCATGGCATCACCAACGTCGTCCCTTCGAGGGGTGAGTTCTTTTAGCAGCGCCTCCAGTCTCAGTCTGTGTCTGAAAAAACAGTCTCAAGTTTGATTTGATCCACACCAAAGGCATGTGGTTAAGTTCAAACATACTCACTCAGCTTTGAGCTGGCCTTTCTTCACCTCCTCCTCTGGGGGAGCTACATCCTCTATTTCTGGTCTTTCATCAGTTCTTTGCGAGAAGTCATTGAGGATCGGAGGTCTCCACAGTGAACCTCCACGAAATAAACGGAAATCAGCAGTCCTCCATTTAGTTGGAGAATCTCCCTGGAGCAGTCAAAGACCAGTCACATAAGTTAAATATTTTCATTATAAATTCATTAAAACTAACTAGCTATTTGTGTTATGTTTCAAATAAGAAGCCCTCACATGAAGGATGGAATACAGTCTCCAGCGGTAATACACATGATCTTGGCTTTTATTGTCAAAAAGAAATCTGAGAATTACAGTAAAAAATAAATGCATGATTCTGAAACAACCATCAATTAACACAATCTTCTTACCTATATTTAGGGTTGTTTTTCTCCCTATTCATTATTATGGCTTCAAACATTGGGCCCTCACGCACTACAAACTCTATCATTCGATGGATTAATAATAAAAGATTTCTGGAAAGAAAGACATTGACAATAAATAAGTTAAAACAACATTTCACTACAGAAGTAACAAAGGTGCTGTAAGAAAAATCTTTACCTGTCAGTTGGGATAACCACTTTTACAATGGCTTCTGACAAACTCTGTTTAGAAAATCAAAATCAGATTAAATGAAAGTAATATAAAAAATTATGACATTCATGATGACTTTTTGCTGCGATACTAAAAACATTTTAAGCCATACCACATATCCTAAAACATGTATTGCATGTGCATATGACAGAAAATAAGTTAAGAATAGTCTCTTCAGTATATTTACTGCTAAATATAAGACAAAAGTTTTTACCTTTTCAAATTCAGCCTTTGACCCCCCAAGTGGTTTGGTGAAGTCATTGCGGAAACGGTCCCTCGGTTGTGCATTAAAGGGAAGGCCAGATGGAGGTGGGGGAGGTATTGCCCTTACCCCCATTGGTGTGTACAGAGGTTGAGGGGGGATACGGGCAGGTCTACCCCATCCCAGCTTCATTTCAAAACCCATAATGATTTTGCCTAAACACAGAAAATAATTGGTATTTTCTATAGCCTCTGTTCAATCATTTTCTAATGTTAGAGATTTAAATTCACCTTCAAGTGCAGCTAAAGCTCTCTCTGCATCTTTTCGAGTCATAAAGGCCACAAATGCTCGATTAGAAGTTCTGTTACGCTCCTCATCGTTTCTGGGCCACATAATCTTCACACTGGCCAGAGGTCCATATTTGCCAAACTCTTTACAGAGCAACTCCTCATTCATCTAAAAACATAATACCAATAATAAAACAAATGTCAAAATTTATATTTGTAGTTCAAAGTATATATCCTTGCCTTTGGGCTTATAGCACTGATGTAGAGGTTAGTGCTAATAGGTGCTGTTGGATCATCATATAATGCAGCTGAAAGACAAACAACATTAAATCAATACAGTGTTATAATTTATGGAAACAGAAGGTAAAGACACTCACTTGCACGAGCTGTAAATGGTACTGGAATATCTCCTCCTTGCCCTCCACCTGGGTCTCCCCTTCTTTTATGTCTTTCCTCACGCTCTTCCTGTATTCTGCAATTCATCAGGAAACAAACAGAAAAGTATATTTCAGCACTTAACAATCTACCGATCAAGCCCATCATAGAACACAACATAAACATCCCCACCAATACGTACATGTACATAAACAAAACAATCACTACTCTACTGAGTTTGTGAATATGACTGTTACAAAAAATGTATCCACATATTGTACTGTTACCCATCAAGTTAAAAAGATCTCCTCACATTTTAAGTTCTTCCTTAAAGAGTTCTAGATTACTTTTCTTCTTTTCTTCAGCCTTCTTTTTGAAGATCTGTTAATTAGACAAGAACAAAATTGGTTAATCACACCATTACATTGTTAAATGCAACAAAAAATGTATTTGTTTGCGCGCGCATGCGTATATATAATATATATATAAAATATATATAATATATATATATATATATATATATACATATACATATATATATACATACACACACACATATATATATATACATATATACACACACACACACTTATATATATATACATATATACACACATATATATACACACATGCATATACATAAATATATAAATATATATATATATATATATATATATATATATATATAATATAAATATAACTTACCGGCTTTTTACTCTCTGCAGGCGGTAGTGGTGCGACATGCTGTGGTGCAGGAGCAAACCTTGATGTGGGTCGATATAGTCGGTCTACTTTGGCCTCGTCTCCTCCTTCATTAAATAAATAATAATGTTAAGTTTAAGTTAGGTTATTGTTACTAATGATTTTACACATCTGGGCAATGGGTCTTTGTGCATTCTTTGATGAAAAAAATAACACTTCCTGACCTTTAGCTGGATTTACAGTACCACCGTGGACAAAGGTCTTAACTCCACTTTTGTTGCTTGGTTCAAATGTTGCCAAAAATTCTTCAAAAACCTCTGCTGCCTTTTCCTCCTCCTGTGAATAAATAAATTAATACAAGTAGATCTTGACACTCAAAGTAGTAGTTACAATTACAATATTAAGATTCAACTATTGAACAGAATACCACCCATTTTACCTTCTTTTTGAGCTCCTGTTGTTCTTTCTTTGACAGTATTTTTGCAGGAGTTGCAATTTTTCCCTTTCTCTCTGCCATTCTCCACCTAAGCAGTAAAAAAAAAGAAAGAAAGAAAAGAAAAAATATAATTAAATATGTCTTGGTATGCCACCAAACCATATTTTAATACTTAAATATAGTAATAACACAGTTACACTTAATAATATTGAGCATCGTATAGCTAAATGTCATAGTCCCTATCAAATAAATACTTGTGTTATGTAGTCACAGTCATGCATACATTATAGCTTATTGAACTAAATAATGATGGAATATAACATTACTTGGCTGCTACTGTGGTTTGTGAACGGTGGCTAACAACATTTAGTTAGCTTGTTTAGCTAACGTGCTAACTGTCACATCAACAATCACCGAGGATGCAGAGTTAACACAACGTACTCTGTTAGACCAAAGAAAGCTACAACTTCTCATTCATTAACAATAGCATTACTACGATAAAATAGGAAGGTAAGAAGAGAACAATTTCTCGCATGCAGTTCGTTTAGCATTAGCTAACATGCTACAAACAGCAACAAGCTCCTCAGTGAAGCCACTTGAAAAAGTGAGTGTACATTTATATTCTGCACTTGCATTTACATATCTGAAGATCTGAGGTGTCACTCACAATGTAAGATATGCTACTGCTTCGGCATTTTGGATACGACGACAAATGTTTCTATCACAACATGCTACTGCTGAGAAGAAGAGGGAGACATCCGAGCTGAGGAAAAAGAAGCACGCCTGCTCAATGGTTCATTCTGCTGCACAGACAGATGAGGGCCAGTTGTTGTGTTAAAGGGATATCCCAGTCTGAGCCCAATACAGCAGCAAGTAGGGCCATTTTATTATTTGAGAAATTAAAATATATATGTAATATTTTGATCCACACTGAATTAATTATTGAGGACTTAGACACATTAACCTGCAGTATAGGGCCTGTAATTCGCAAACTTACAGGAGCAGGCCTACAACATAAAAGAGGCTGTCCAAGTACTACCAGCAGGACTGGGCCATGACTAAAAGAGGTTGGCAACTACTGACTAAACATGGTGAAAACAAACCTCCTTGACTTCAAGGAGGTGGAATGTTCATGTAAGCAGGTGATGGACCCTTTATCAGAAAGGTTACAAGTCAGGTCTGTGGAGAGACAAGCTCCCCTCACAGCATGGATGTGCACTTTTCAAGGTTTTCTATCTAGTTAAATAAAAAATAAATAAAAAACACTAGTAATGCTTTGTGCTGCTTTAAATTAATTATTAGGCTGCATAGTCTATGCTAAATTTGTTTGTAATTATAGCCTTATAAAACTTTGTACTCCCTCATATAGAAAATATGCACATTTGTTACAGCAAAGGTTAACATTTTTTCCTGTCTTGACTGCAGAAAATGGGCTACACAAGTTGTCTCCTTATTCATCATACTGATGTTCAAAGTCCACTGACATTATTACAGTATTGTATTGACCTTGTGTGTTTTTGACAAACATTATTCTCTGTCTTTCTAGCAGCATTGACCCCACAGCCTAGAGTAGAAGGCATAGGTATACTATAGTTTCAGTCCTCATGTGTTTCAAAAATGTGTTTGTCCAAGCAGTTTATTGTGGATAAAAGAAGTTGTTTGATGGAGCTGACAAGGCACTGCAGCAGATCTGAAGCCCGTAAGCATTTTCCTATTGTGATTACAGATCACTGCAATGCCATTTGGCAGACCACCACAAATGTGGATCCCATGCACTATCGTGGCTCCCTGTCAATAGGCTTCACTCACAAAAAAAAGGAACCTAAATGAAAAATCTAGATCAGTGAAGGTTATTTAGAATGTATTACTATTTTTTCCTTTGTTATTATAATATAATGGGATGTGTGAGTTACTGTGTCCAAGTAATTTCCCTTGTGAAAAGGCTATGTCTAAAAATGTATAATAATTTTGATGTATTTTTCTAGGCTGTATAGAAAACCTATTAGGCTATGGATCTACAGACATTTAAACATTTAAATACATAAATAATAATAATAATAATAATAATAATAATAATAATAATAATAATAATAATAATAATAATAAAATAAAGGTATAAATGTTTTTGTACTATTAGTTTTAATCCGAGCTTGTCAAAAATTCACTGACCCTTTACAGCTCTCAGTATGCTATCAAGACCTATAGTGCAATCATTTGGGGCCCCTAATGGGAAAATGGTAAGCAGGTGTAAAGCCCTAAAATGGCCTCCATAGCGTGCTTATCACAATTACCTCCACCAACAGCAGCAGCAGTACAGCAGCATCATCACCTCACAAGCCCATCCCCTAGCGTCCGTCCCCGGAATGAGCCGATAGTAGTCTGTGTTTGCGCATGGGCGGAGAGGCTGCCGCTGTGCGCTGTTATTATTGAAAGAGTAATTTCTTTTTTTACGAAAATGGCGTCTAGTCAGGGAGGTGTGGGATCTGTCCCGGCGCTACAAAGCCATCACTATACCACTGGACCTCACTGGAGTCCCGGTAACAGCCAGTACCCGCACCTCCAGCAGCAGCAACCCCACACGACGCGCAGCCTGGACCGTGCCCTGGAGGATGCCGTCTGCTCCGGGATCCTCAACCTCAGCGGGAGGAAGCTGAGGGAGTACCCGGGCATGAACTACGATCTCACGGACACGACACAAGCAGGTGGGTTAGGCCAGCTTCACTGTAGTCCCACAGACCACCGTGCTTTCTATAGAAATGTACAGCTCATGGGTTTGTCTGGATGCACCACGTCCGCATTGTGCACGGATTCTGTCTGCTTGTCAAGACATGTGCATGACAGCAGCATTAATGGGGAAACACTCTATTCACTCACAGTCACATCGCCCCTGCAAATTTATATTTGGATTTTTCAATCATATTTTACTCCAGCTCATTTAGCCCAAATGTTGGTGTACATGGTTCTACCTTAATAGCTTTCAGAATCGCTGCCCCTGAGACATGAATGAGACGCCAGGCGCACCCAAGTCAGGCGCAGAGCAGTGGTTTTGCACGGCGAGCTGCAGTTCATTTGGTATCGGGGAGCTTGAGCAGAATATGAATGAAGCAAGGACACGTTTACCCTCTCTATAGCATTTAATAAGAAAGTAGCAGGCGAGTTTTTTCATTTCATGACATTTTTGGCACATGCAGACAAAAGATGCATGGTAGCCTACTTCTTGCAGCCTCACCCCTCACTGCCTGGCTGCATTATGCCCATATAATCTGTCATAAAGGGAAGACATGGGTTTTGGTTTGTGCATTGATGTTTCTTGCTCCTGTCTGGTGAGGTGCTAATGGGCTGGTCTAATGGTGCCCTTTGCTCTGCTCATAGGTCAGCAGTACGTTGTCATGGTGGCTGGCAGGTCATTTTTATGAGTGTGCAAGGTGATTAGGTCTATATTCTGACAGGCAACAGCATTTGCCACTGTTCAAAATGTGTTAATTTTGCACTTTATTGCAGCCCAATCCTTTATTTGACATTCTGGCTTTGATTCTATTTCCTTTCCTTGTCATAACTCATTCATCCTTTCATGATCGGTGTTTGTCTTCAATAGAAGATGTCCACATACCATATGGTGTTATAATTTGTCCCGGGCACTTGATAACAAGACAGTGATTTTTCTTAGAATTGGCTAGCAGTTCTATTACGATCATATACTTTTCACATGGGAAAATGAAACAAAGGAAAACTGTCAGTATAATTTTCCTTTTTATCAACATTGATACAAATATATCAGTGACGATCCAAGATGCAACTACTGTACCACCACCATCATTTCTAATCTCATATTTCATTTAAGGTTTATAAGGAGTGCAGCACTGTAGCTTGATATGACTACATATTACATTTATTGTTCTCAAGAGTACTGGTATTGTTGAAGCCTTTCAAAGGGAAATGGATAAGACAGGAAGTGAATGTGAACTATTTCTGGACCACTGCGAATGTGCAACTTGGAGCCACATGACTACGTCTCTTTAAAAGAAACTGCCCAGATCTGTCATGATTGTTGCATAATACATCAGACATGCTCTTCAAAAGCACAAAGAATAAGCATAAAATACATTCTCTTTACCCATCCTCCTTTGTCTGGACTGGTGCACCATTGTAAATGTATCTACTGCCTTCATTCTGGTGTTGCCAAACTGTGCCGGATTGAAGTCTCACCTTTCTACATGTGCAAAGGCAGATGTGACACTTCCCAATATCACACAGTCAGTACAGTCATGAGACACAATACACTTGATTTGAGATAAACTATTAGCCTTAAGTAAGCACATTTTTAATTATTAACACAGAAAAGCTTTTAGTATTCCTTTATGTACAAAATTTGATTACATTGCACCACTACATGCTTTTACAGCTCCTTCTGTGATTAATGGTAATATGTGGTCAGTGTGGGGCCTACTTACACACTGGTGTCTGTTTGTACTGTCCTACTGGCAGTTTGGCTTCAGCTACACTGAGTTCCCATGGGAAAGTGCTGAGCTTTTGAGTGCTTCTGGTCAAACCCTAGAAAGAGAAACCTGGACAGATGTTCAAGTTCAGCGCGCCTCTGCCTGCCATTATGGTCAGTAAGTGAACTAAAGCTCTATTAGTGTCTTCAGTGTGAATTATGACTATATGATTTATTGAGTTGTCAAAATCCATACCCAGATACTTATCAATAGTAAAATTAAAATTGAAACTAAAATAGTATAATAGCAAAATAAAAACTAATACAAACATTTGACCAAGTTTGATGTTTCCTGAATAAAGTTAGAATGATTTTGATCTATATTAGAACTAGAAAAAAAAAATGTGTTAGCATCAGAATTGAGTTTGAAATTTTAGTACCACTATGACACTTAATTTGTCTGGGATCCAAAGTACACATTTCTTGCCTGGCAACTTAATCATTTATGAAGAAGAATTTAAAGATCCCCTAACATTAGGATATGCTCTGTATATGTAGGTCAAGATATGCAACCATATCAGGCAATTTGAGTGTTCTTTATAGCAGAGGGAAATAAATACATTTGTTTCTTACTGTAAGGATTTAGTAAGTTCACTGGGGGGTCAAACAAAGGGAAAAAAATTGCAGTTTTCCCACCATCTGAATGTAAACAGATTTAAGATTCCGACAGAGTTGAATACAAGTTCTTTCTTGTTTGCCTCAGACAGGCAGCAGCATGAACATGGCTTTATATTTGACTGTTTTAAAAGTCTTTCTTGTCAGATTCCTGATTGTTTGCTTCTAGTAGATAGACTGAAGGCCATTCAGACAAGGACGCATGCAATAAGCTGACATTCCTGTAATTATTTTTAATCACTGAATACCCATATATTTGTTCTTTTCCTAACAGCGGTTTAGTTACAGTAGTAAAAGTAATCTTAAATGTAGAGTTTTTGTCTAGTGTTATTCCACTAGAGCTCTGTATCAGTCAGATAGTTGTTTGTTATGATTTTGAGTGTGCAGGCATGGCTAGATGAAAAAACATCAGAATTCATCTAGATGTTTCTACCTTTAGGACTTCATAATGTGTGAATACATGTCTAGACAAGACACTGGCAAACGTGCTGTTGCAAGAAAGAGCAATACATTTTGAAATCACTTTGTTATGATTCTGTCTTCAGTAATAAGAATAATTGTTAGTAAACATGACTAAAATTGTTTTAGAATGATGCTAGCATAATATATTATTAAGATTTGTTAGTGGAAACAATAGCTACAACAATAGTCAATATAAGAGTTCAGTGCAATAATACTCAGCTCCTCAGTAAGACTATAGTTTAAGTCCAGTTGCATCATTGTCCGTTAGGAATGTTAATGATGTTTGCTGAGTAAATGTAACAGGAGCTTGTCACGCCTTCAGATTCTTACGAAAACGTCTGTCCCTCTGACCTTGTCCTCCCTAACTCTTTCCTGTCATTGATTAATACGATTTTAAAAGTCAAAGCAGGATCCAAAATGACCTTCCAAAAATGTGTACAGCGTAAATGTGGTGCAGCTACTAAAGGTTAGTCTATCAGGGTTTAGTCATCAATCATTGTAGCAGTGACTTTTTGGTTAATCAAGCTTGCTTAGAAGGTACAGAGAATTTGCCAAATCAAATAAAAGCTGCATTATTTTAATCCAGTTTATAGCAGCAGTGTGCTCAAAATGTATACAATCAGAATGGAACTACTTTCCGTTTTTTGCCCCCATAAACATTGTAATAAGTGATAAAACAAATTAACAATCCAGTTTAAGTTAATTTGGTTCCTCTACATTTGACTACATTTGACCCTTTTCATTTACAGTACCTGTTTTAGTAGCTGTACCTGTTTCATCTAGCATTGTCCATGTTATGTACCATTTAAAAATACATCTGAACAAGTCCTTAAAATCCTTTGTGTTCTCATTATTTAATCACATAAAATATATAGTTCTATTTTTATATTATTATTATTCTGTTAATTATATTTTTAACTGTCATGGTGTTACATGTTTAATTTGTAACATGAGGCAAAAATTGTCATTTCAACTTACAGCAAAATTGTGAAGCAAAGCTCTAAAATTATAAAATTTTATCTGACCATTTGTTATATAGCACTTAAGAAGTAAATGGACCATAAAACCAATTTTGTATTTGTAAAAACAAAACAAGAAAACTCTAAAGCCCTTATTAAAGTTTTTAATCTACAAACATTTACAAGATAAACATACATTTATTGAAGAGGTGATGCATGATGCATGTCAACTGCAGTTACATTGTAATAAAGTGAGCCAAGATTAACTGTGTTAATAATCAGATTATTAAACTAAAGACAGTAATCCATGGCAGTGCTCCTTCCTGTATTTCTACTACTGTTTACACAGAGCAGAAATGGTGGTGCAGTGAGTCAGCAGTGTTCAGTTTCAGCTTCTGCTTCTCACAAACACAAAATGATTGTGTGCACTGCAGGACACTGATGTCACTGATGTGTGAGTATGTGGAGCTAAACAAATACAGCTGACTGCAGGTCGTCTGTGTGTGTACACAGGACTGGCCCTCTCATCTCCGTCATCACATTTCTGAACTGTCAACACGTGGGCCGGTGATTTGTTGACCCCCATAAGGCGCATTATGAGCCTTAAGCTTTCCTGCACAGGATAATGATGTGCTAATACCTTTGAAAGGTTTCCCCATGGGCAGACCCTCTTATACATATTAGTAGTGCTGCTTCTCAAAACCCAATTATGAAACGGCTCCAGATCCTGTAAACTTGTTAAAAGGAGAATCGAGAAGGCAGAGTAGCAAATGACATCATCCCCAACAACCTGTCACCTGACATCTATGTTACTCATATCTCTTTATCCCACATCCATTTATAGACTGTAGACTGAACTGTGAGTGGTATAGTGTGGTCAGCGACACACACAGATCTCAAGTGTGCTTGAAAAATGTGGTCATAATTGAATAGGGAAACCTCTTTTGGATAATTTATTATGATAGTTTTTTAACTTAAATATTGCATGTTGCATGATGAATTTGAGCACTGGATAGAAAAGTATATCATCATCAAATGTAGAAGGTGCTGTGTCACTGGAGACCACCCTTTGTAAGATAAATGAATAAGCAGTGAAATAGACTATGGTGAGGCCTTGTTTGGCTGTCTCTGTATTAGTGCTGCTCAGGGGATCAGCAGCAGGTGGATGCAGCCCGCTGTACCCCACAGATGGTGCTTGGGCCTGGGATGGAGGAGAGCAGAAGAGGAGCATGTGAAGTGACAGGCTGAAAATGACTGGCTCACCCACCCCCTGCTCCATCAACCCTCTGACTCCACTGAGCAGGCCTGGTCCCAGCTGAGGGTTGGCTGAGAGGGGGTAGTGGGGTGTTGTCTAACTGCAGCTGGGTCTAAAGCCTCAGGGACTTTCAGTATTTACTCTTAATGGGGAACAGCTATTGTGTGTGGCCTTCGCTTTGGTCTTTCCCCATGCTGTAATTTCAGTTTCTCTTAACCTCTCAACTTGTATTCCCCGTGTGCTTCTGCTATACTTCGCCAGTTCCTCTGTTCTCCTTTTTTATACTGGTACAACTAACCACAGTGTCAAAAATAGGGGCCGGTCTGTTGTCATGTACAGTTAAAATGTCAACAACCCCATAATCCCATATTGGATCTAACCTTACGAAATATTGGTGGAATTTAAATCACGGTCTCAACTGTGTGAACTGTGTGTATAGCCTATTTAGCCAACAAAGGCGAGGGGGTTGTAATTACATGCATTGAGCATTGGGGGTGCACAGTGGTGTTGTTGTGGTCACCTTTAGGCCAAATGGGTGCACCTTTTCATTGACATCATAATTTAAAGTCTTTATCTGGGAGGGCTCAGCTCCTCTCACTGGACCCTAATCATTGTGGCCTCTAGAGATAATCCAAAAGAGAAGGTAATTTACACATGCACACTCACACACACGGACACACACAGACCACTGTTTATAGCTAGACGATCAATACACGTTTGGCTCTTATCGTGCACACTGTAGTAGGACTTTACATAGATTTTACAATGACCACCCTCTCTCTGTTATAAGAATGGCTATTTATATTACACATTTGTATTTCCTTTTATAAATATAGCATGCTACAGCAACATCTCCATTATGTCATTTGAATAGCCATGTAGATATTGTGTTTGAAGTCATTTGTAATAGAATTGCCAAATCTTTCTTTGATTAAAACAAACCCTTTGGTCTTTACCCTCTATTAAACCCATATAACTTGCCCCTCCCAATGAAATCAATACTGATGACAGTTCCCTAATATACAACCTTGGGAGTCAGGCCCAGGACGTGGTGTAGTCTGGTGCTCAAGTATGCTCTTGTCCTTACACTTACACAGATGTATTGATTATTTAGTCCAAGTTATTGGCACTCCTGCCTTAATGTGCCTTAATGTAAAGGCTTAATTCAATAGACACCTGAATTTGAATGTAGTTTTTTATGTTCTCTGTGCCCTTGTTTAACAGATCTATCTAAGAATCGTCTGACAGAAATCCCTCCTGAAGTGTGTTTGTTTGCACCACTGGAGTCTCTCAACCTCTACCACAACTGTATCAAGTGCATCCCAGAAGCTATCATCAACCTGCAGATGCTCACCTATCTAGACATAAGGTCAGTCTCTACAGTCAACACTATTCTATTAGCTACAAGGAACAGAGAAAAACAGAAAAAAAAATTAAATCAATCACGAATGGCCTTTTGTTATTTATTATTATTATTTTGAAATAGTCATTCTTACACCAATATCTATACTGTTGGAGCCACAGGTTCTAAATTAGTATGTTTTGAAACTACATACAATATCATGGTTCCTTTGCAGTCGAAACCTTCTATCAGTTTTGCCAAAATACCTGTTCAACCTCCCACTCAAAGTCCTGCTTGTGAGCAACAATAAGCTGGTATCCATCCCCGAGGAGATCGGCAAGGCCAAAGATCTGATGGAGCTGGTATGTACAATACATTTGAAATTACGTTATCAGATAACACATTTCTCACTCTCTGTCTCCCTCTTCAGGACATTAGCTGTAATGAGATCCAGGCACTGCCATCTCAGGTTGGGAGGCTTCAGGCCTTAAGAGAACTCAACATCAGGAGGAACTGTCTTCACTTGCTACCAGAGGGTCAGTCTAACACTATACACATATGTCCCTATGTGTTAACACATATTTTAGACAAATATTTTATTCAAAGAGGACATTTCATTTAAGACATTTAATCTAAACTAAGGACTTTGTTCTTTTCTTTTTTGTCTGTGGTGTTTTTTGTTTTTGTTTTTTCTTTTGGCTTATATAGACCTCTCATGTTGATGATGATGATGATGATGATGATGATACTGTAATGATCTAATATTTTGTGTTTAATTTGAGGATGATACCTTTTAGTGTTCTGATAACTGTCTATATGTTGTTGTTAACTGCTTTTATATGTGACACTTGGTTGCTTTGCTAATAAATTAGTGTTGGCTTGATTTGTCAGTTACTGGTGAGTTTAGAGACTGGCTCTGCTGAGTGGAGAATGTTGTTGTTTTGTTATTGTTTTGCTGTGGGTAACAGCCTACACTAACCCTTGTGTTCAGAAAATAAATCACAATGCTACAATATGATGTGTAGCACTGTGTGGATTTTTCCACTTGTAGAGTCAGTGTATGGTTACATGCAAATAGTAACTGTTGCTACTATTTTACATCAGATATGCACCGACCGTTCAGGTCATGTATTTACATGTTGTAGCAGCATTTTACTAATGACACAGTTTGTCCACAGAGCTGGCAGATCTGCCTCTGATCCGACTTGACTTTTCCTGCAATAAGATCACAGAGATTCCTCCAGCGTACAGGAAACTGAGGCAACTGCAGCACATCATTTTAGACAATAACCCTATGCAGTCCCCACCTGCGCAAGTGAGTGTTCAGCTAGACACTACATGTTAAAATGTGTCTTTCAAGTACCAAATGGTAAACTCCACTTAGTGTGATTTTTATGTTTCAGATTTGTCTCAAAGGCAAAGTGCACATTTTCAAGTACCTGAACATCCAGGCGTGTCGTATGGATAAGAAGCCTGACACTTTAGACCTGCCCACCCTGAGCAAGCGCTGCCTTCCGCAGCCCCTCACCGATAGGTGCCCACTTTTTTAGTATTTTTGAGCATGATATTAGAATTCTAGTATGATTGTGTGATTGTGTGCCAAGAAAAATAAAGCATAGATAATAGCATAATAACATAATAGCATATTTAGTGAAAAATAAAATTATTATTGCTGATATGATAGAAAGCGTGGCCTCCATTCACCAGAGGAGCTTGTTTCTGGGACATCATAAATAATTTATTTCTGTATGTATTAGTCTTGCTATTGAATACAGCCCATCATGGAGCTAAGGCCTAAAGTGAGATACTTTAGTGCAGGGGTCTTCAACCTGTAGCTCGACAACTACCAGTAGATCTCCACCCTCCTCCGAGGAGCTCACCACGGAATTTCTGAATCATATGTATCGTACTGAATAACAAAAATTTTTTTTTATTAAATGCCTATTACCATTGTAAAAGTATCGTTCTGAGGCCTGTCTTTGTGCACTAAAAGATGGTTAATAATTGTGTAAATATTTTATAGGAATCAAATTTTACCCCATCTAAGGCTCTTATATTTTCTCCATTTCATGCGGCCGCTAAAATTAGTAGGTTTCCGGCATTTTCATTATGTAAGGGTAGCTCATCAGCGCAAAAAGGTTGGAGACCCCTGCTTTAGAGTAAGCTATTAAACAACACATTCACATTAAATGTATTTTGTGTTATTTGCTTTCAGCATAGAAGATTTTTATCCTAGTAAGAACCACGGGCCTGACTCTGGAATTGGTAGTGACAATGGAGATAAGAGGCTATCAACGACAGAGGTCAGAGTTCATGTATTAAAATTAATTTAAAAGAAAACTTGTTACTTGACCTTTGGCCTGGTGTTGTTTCTTCTCATAGCCATCAGATGACGACACGGTCAGTCTTCACTCCCAGATTTCAGAGACAGCCCGTGCTGATGCCCTCTCTCTGCTCTCCAAAATGGACTCTTGCAAAGGTTATCCACAATAAGTATCACCTTTAGACTTTGAAAGCAATAGACAGAGACAAAGGGGCTTATTGAATCAAGTGCCTAAAATGTGACGTTTATGTGAACGCGGATGCTTCCTCCCTCTATCAGATCAGGATCTCTATGACTTTATAGAGCCCAACCCGGACGACGATCCTGCTCTTTCAGAGAGCAATGGGCACCCCAACAGTCATGTGTCTTGTATAAAGGTAAGTTTTACTCTTTCTTAAAAAATAAAAATAAAGTAAGATTGTAGAACTACAACACAGCTACATTACTTAATAGACAAAGTAACTGAAGGAATGTTGCTAATTGTTTCAGGAACTGGAGAAAGTCCTAAACATGTCTCACCAAAGCAAAGATAAAGACAGCTGGAAAGAAGAATCAGGGTGAGTTTTCTTATCATATTGTTGTAATCAGTTTAACCAATAAGACAACCATGACATAATGATTACATAACAAGCCTGATTCTTAACTTCTTACTAGTCTATATTGCATGGGTCTCCAACCAGCTGTCCACCACCTTGTTCCAAGTAGCTTGCCAAGGGATTTCTGAATTATGGGCATTGTATAATAACACACAGTTAATGATTTAAACACCTATCACCATGTATCATTTTGATGCCTAACTTTGTGAACTGATAAATGGCTAATGGTTGATGTTTCATAGACATCTAACTGTACCCATCTAAGGCTTGCTACGGCTCTTATATACTCAATTTCGTACAACCACTAAAATGAGCATTGTCGTTTTGTAAAGGTAACTCACTTGAGAAAAAATGTTGGAGACCTCTGCTTTACTGAAGCAGTTCTCTTATAAGGTTTATTATGTGGGATATGCTCACACTAAATGTCTGTATTGAATGTGCTTTTTTGATTGAGTGCAGTTCAGACAAAGAGCAGCTGGTGGAGGAGGAGGATGAGGATCTGAAGGAAGTTCTGGATCTGAGGAAGATCGCGGTCCAACTTTTACAACAGGAACAACAGAACAGGTGTGTGGTATTTAGTATCTTTTCTGCTATTGTCTGTGAAGCTACTCTCTTTTCTACTATTATCTGTTCTTTAATTTCGGTGCACAGTAAATTGTAAAGGCACAAGGATTGCTTTTTATTTCTATTTTCTTTCTGTCACTTGCCATGTTTTGAATTAATGAAAAGAAATGGCCAAAATCTTTATAGAGTAGTTCTAAAGCATGTTGACAAAGACCACAAGGATTACATTTCAAATGTATACCTGTAAAACCTTGTTAGTCAATTTTATACAGTTCAATCAATGTAAAGGAGAGGAATATTTACTGTATAAATTTATTTATTTATTTATTTGGATAGCTCCTTGTGGCGCATCATCTTCAAGCGGTTCCGTTTTTTAAAATAATATATAAATCACATATGATATGGGCAACCCTGAAAGACAAATTTGGCTAATTACTTTGTTAATTATTACTACAGTTTCTTTCTTGCTATCTCTTTCTGATTCTGATAAGCCTTCACTTTTCACTCTTTTTCTGCTGCTGCTGCTGTCGTGTTTAACTCCACTAGAAGGCGCTCGTTAATTTGCAGAGCAGAGAGTCTTATCCACAGACGGAGAGTGACTGGCCGGGCACACAGGTAGAGAAGACTGGGGAAACACTTTATACACACACTCAAACACACAATACTAAATAATAAAACATTATCTTAACTTCTGTACTCTACTGTACTGAATTACTAAGTGCACATAGAATTAAACACATTTCCTTGATTTTACAGATTCTTGAGTCACTCTGGTTCTAGCAGCAAGACCAGGCCCCCAGTTCAGGCTGCACGCAGGTTAGTACAATTAAGTGTTTTATTACATTATATGTTCCATTTCTTATCAGTAAATCAATAAGATCTAGAATACATTCTTTGATAAAATGCACATTCAAACATACTTTTTACTTCTGATTTTATATTGCCACCCACTCACATTTTTTAATAAACATATATATATATATATATATATATAATATGCATTACTCGATTATGTCAATTCAGAACACTTCTTACATAAGGTTTAGTTAGTTTTGCTGTAGATAAAAAGATACATAAACTTAGCTTTATTACATAATTAAGTTATGTTTTTTTTTAGTGCCTCCCTTGACGAAGGGACCAGTGGAGCATCAGTATTGAGTGGGCAGGTAAATATGAATTTACTGCTGAAAATGAATAAATATAGTTAGTTAATTTACTGTGCATTAATATGATTTGCCTTTTGTCTCTCAGCCCTCTACATCCTGCTCCTTTGATGGCAGTCTCAAACCCGATAGTGACCCTGAGTCCAAATGGCCCGAAGTGCCACCAATCCTCAACCAAACCGATGAGCGCCGCAGGAGCAAGTACCTCAGAAAAGACTATTTAAAGGTATCAACGGAAATATATATTTGGCAAACTTTTATTGACATTTTATTGCCTCTTTTGGAGTGCCTGTGGCTAAAACGCACTGCCTCAAGTCCACATGTATTTTTCTGTAGAAGTGAGTGTGGCTGGCCAGCCTAGATAATTTGCATATTAGTATTCATAACAATATTTTGTAGTATCAGTTATTAATTGAATAATAATTTATTTTACATCAATTATTGTTATTTTTAAAACAGTACAAATGTCAAAATGCAAGAAAGAATGGCAACGATGACAGTGAGGTAAGTATTCAGTCATTTATTGTAGTTCAGTTTGTTAGGCTAACTGCAAACTTATCTAAAATTTATGTATTTTCTTAATGTCATTTGTGTGCAGGAAAGCTTGTGCAATACAGATGTCAGTTCCACTCTGACTGTGTTTGGGCTAAAGCCAAGATCAGGTAATTTTCCATTTCTCAGTTTATGACATTAAAAATAAGCATTGTGGTTTCAAAAAAGGCTTTGTAGTGTTGGTCATACTAAATAGTACTAAATGAATTTTGCAGTCATCATATCTATATGTTTGTTTAAATGGAAACAAAAGTTTAATTTGCTATATTTTTGTTTAGACATGTTAGTGAGGAAACAGTTTTCAGATGCATTGTGTTCTTCTATGGAAGTGGACAGATTTCAGAGGAAGCCTTACAGGATGCTTGATAGAAGCAATAACACAGATAGACCATGATAATCCTGCATGATAGCACATAATTGGCTCATTCACAATAGTTACAGGTTATTATGTTATTATGTTATTATGCTTATTGGGCAAAATGAAATGGCTTATTTCACTATATGGCATACAGTTTCTGTTATTGAGAAGTGTACTTGATTTGAACTTGCAGCTTTCACCAGAGGAAGCAAACAGGAATTATCGTCAAGTGACCCTAGTTTCACCATGAGGAGGAAGATGGAGCACCTGAGGGAGGAACTGGAACAGATAGCTCTCTTACGGCAGGTCAGACATCTGTGACTTTATCTTTCAGTATTTCACACTAATCCTCAGGGCTTTCATAGTTCTGTGTAATATCAGGTCTAGATTTTAGTCTTCGACACCACCACAAAACAAACTTGCATTATATGTGTTAGAGCCCGACCGATATATCGGCTGGCCGATATTATCGGCCAATATGGGCACCTGGAGACATATCGGCTATCGGCCGATATGCTTGCTGATATGGGCCGATATTTCACGTGGGCATGTTATACCTCGTTATAAAGCTTAGACTCTCTACATTATGTTCATTTAATCCAATTTACAGACAGATAAATGTCCTAATATGTGGCTCCGCATCAGTATTTATCTGCGGTGTAATTTGTCTGTGTCTGTGTCCGTACTGTCCCTGAACACACCACCAGAGTGACGTCACTTCACCCGCGTGTGTTTGTTTACACCCGCAGCCGTGCGCAACATTGAAATTATTTTCTTTTTCGGACAATTGGTTTGAGTCTGGATTAAAAGGACATTTATTAGTGCAGACTTGTGATGTGAGGAGGAGCCTGTGTGAGCGATGAGTGTTGGAAATACATCGACTTTGAAGCTAGTTTAGGTTTTGTTAGCGGTTAGCTGCTGTAGCTCCCACACATAAACAGGCTGTTTTCTATTGGTCTATTGTAAAGTGACCATATTGGCCGTATATTTGTTACTGGACCAGCATTGATATGTAAATGAGCTGTGAATAGACGTGTGAATGATCCACATTTATGCATATAATTAACTACAGCGGTGCGCAGCATTTACGGCTAAAGGCTAATAGCGATAGTTTACCAGCTAGGAGTTATGGGTCGGTCGCGATCGAAGCGGCTCTTAGATCCGGCTCTTTGAAGCGAACAACGGGAGCCTGCTTCTTATTGGGAGCCGTGTTTTCTCTTTTTCTCACTTTTTCTCTTCATGTCGCATGTAGACCCGTAGTTTGACAGCAGCAGCGGCTGAAAACGAAACTTTCAGAAATCTGCGTGTGCATAGGATAAAAAAAGTACATATTTGGCTGCAGTTCAGCATAAAATGAATAAACCAGGACTAATCTTGGGCTCGAGTGCAGGAGAGAGATAGAAACCGAGTCTCGACACTCAGTCCTGGTTCAGTTCTGGTTTAGTCCTGCTTGCAACAAAACAATCTCAAGAGTCGCTTGGGAGCCGAAAGAGCCAGCAGCTTTAGTGAGCCGAGCCAAAAGAGCCGGTTCTCCAAAAAAAAAACAAAAAAAAACTGGAATACCCCATCACTAGCAGCTAGAATGTGATGCAAAAATGCCATTAGGCCAATCTACTGTATGTAAATATGATGTAAAGAGTCAAAATAACAATAAATGTTGCCTAAATAAACCCAATTTAGAATCCACTAGAGCCAAACCTAAGTTTTTTAATCAATTCAAGATTTACAGTGAATTTTTACATCACTAAATATATCGGTGATTATATCGGCTATCGGCATCGCCAACTCCCATTATATCGGTTTCATATCGGCCACAACAAAATCCATATCGGTCGGGCTCTAATATGTGTAACAGATCCCAGACCCAAATATCAAGTCAATAGTTTGTTTTTGTTTTACTGTGGTATACAGTCAAGTTTATTATTTTATTTGCTGCTGTTCCCAGTGGTACTCACCAGGGCCTGCACTGCTTAGCTTTCAAGATCAGACAGGTATTTCTGTTTGATTACACAATCCTATGACATCATCCAGTAGTAAAGTTATATAAAAATTATAAAGGTGTAGTATTTAACATGCATGATTCCATGAAAATAGGAATAAGTTAAGAATTTTAAACTTTTATTCCGCACTGTGAAAGATTATTGCTAAAGGAGCAACATTTCCATGGAAACAAGGTGGAGGCGAAATGAGAGTCAGGTTTGTGGAGAGGCAAGTCCACTCAGTGCAATAAATTTTATTTTAGTCTGTTTTTGGTTAAAAAATGTTATTGTGGAGCTTTAACCCTCTCCAGGCAGGTGTTGCAGATTTGCAACAGCTAAATTCCAATTACCTACTTACTCTAAATCCATTTTTTTTTTTTGAACTTTTATTGCCACAAATCAAATCACATCAACACTGTCCTGAGACCGGGCCTTCTCACAGTTTATATATTCACTTTTTTGCCCCTTCTCTCTCCCCACTCCCCCCTCTAGAAGAAGAAAGAGAGAAAAACAAAACTAAAATTTGCTAAAACAAATTAAAAAAATTAAAACCAAAACATAAAGAATAAGGCATATTAGGGCATACGTGTCTTATTTCAAAAAGTCAGTAATTGGGCTCCATTTCTTTTCAAAAGCTGCCACCTTGAGCTGTAGTTGAGCCGTTAACAGTTCCATTGTATAAACTTCAACGGTCGGTATTTCAGGTTTCAGCCAGTAGATCGTGATAATTTTTCTTGCAGTCAACAGAAGAAAATGCAGCAGAAAGCACTGATCATGAGAGAGACCGTCAGGGAATATGTCAAGCAGAAATACCTTTGGGTCCATCAACAGGTCCACAGCCAATATATTTTGTAGAACATCTTTAACATTAATCCAAAAACCTTTTATATTGGGGCAGTCCCAAAATATGTGAGTCTGGTCGCCCACAAGTCCACACCTCCTCCAACATTTATCACTAACACTACATTTTGAAATAAAAGTTTTGAGCGGGGTTCTAAAAAATCTTAATTTGACCTTCCAGTCAAACTCCTTCCAAATCTGACTTCCCAGCCCTTTATGACAACCAGAACAAACACCCTCCCAGGTATCATCATCCAAAGTCACATTCATTTCCATTTCCCATTGTTGTTTTATATGATGTATTATCAGACATGTCTATTAACAATTTTTGGTAAATCTTGCTCACTTGCTTTTCCAATACACCAGAGTTTTCAAGTAGATCACAAAAATATTTCTCAATATTTGTTGGGTCTCTTCTGATATAATCCCAGTCCTTATGTTTCATAATATAATTTCTTAACTGCAAGTACCTGTAATGGTCACTGGGAGGTAAGTTGTTCTAAATCCATATTTTATGAGCTTTTTTTACTCAGAAGCCTTTTCTCCCATCCATGCTGATAAACATGGACGATGCAGACTGTGCAAGAATGGCTACACACAAACAGCCTGCCAGAAGTGCAAAATACTTTTTTTGTTTACAAAGGATAAAAAAGTCAGGATTGTATATCACTACCCCATATTATAATTTTCCCCAAATTTTTCCTGATACTAAAAATAAATTTGAGCCTGAGAGGGTTAACTTTGAATGTGCTGTTTTTCTTACATGTTTGAGTTTTCCTTTGTGCTTCCAGAACATTGAGTCTCGTCTGAAGGTGCTTCTCCCTGATGATGTGGGTGCTGCTCTGATGGATGGAGTGGTTCTCTGTCACTTGGCCAATCACATCAGTCCTCGCTGTGTTGCCAGCATTCACGTACCCTCACCTGCTGTGGTAAATATGATGCACATTGGTATTTGTGTTTAGTTTTTTCCTTTGCACCAGGCTTATTGTGTAATCTGTTGTTTAATTTTCAGCCAAAACTCAGTATGGCAAAGTGTCGGCGAAATGTGGAAAACTTCTTGGATGCCTGTAAAAAACTGGGTGTTCCACAAGTAAGTCACCAAAAATATCAATGAAATTAACAATGTCCAAATAAAATGATTCCATTTACACTCTTTCTGAAACACATTTGGGGCTGGTTTTGGTAATTTAATCTGATGGTATAATAAGAAAGAAAAAAATAATAATTAAGACATCCATTGCATATAAATAAAGCTAAAAGAGCCATGGATTCTGCTGTTGCAACAGTTGTAGCAGCCATCCCTTGAATGTCAGAAGAGCAAAATTCGAATAAATAATAATGTAAAAACAAGGCCACAAATGCCACTGACCAAATACCTTAAAATGAGAGCTAGTTATGATCCCAGTAATGCCGAGAACTTAATCAGTGTCCTTGTTTTCACTGAAATATGAAAAATGCATATTCTACGTAAACCATAACAGCTCGACAGTTAATGTAGAAGTACAGTATGTTTGAGTGTAAGTACACTATATAGACTAGGGGTGGGCAGTTATTTTTTCCTTGGGCCGCATGAGAAAGAAAATATTTTGGAGGGCCAGGCCAAAATGCTTAACTCAGTTCTGCATAATATTAATTGTATTTCTTTATTTAAAAAAAAAAAAAAAAAAGTAAATAGCATTGTTTGGACAAGCAGATAAGACTGGTAAGAGTTTATGTTATGACTAAGCAATGAAAAAGTGAGGTTGCCTTACAAAAAACTTTATAAAAACCCCTCTAATATAAAAGCAATGCAGCCTTAGTCCATGCATGAGGGAAAATTATAAAAAAAATATATATTTATTTTATAATTCCAAATTAGCATAAAAGGGTCAGTCAGAGTCAACCAAAGGGCTATATGTGGCCCAGGAACTGTTCAATGCCCAGGTCTGGTATAGACACAATGACTGATGATTATTATATTTACCCAACATACATAATTTGTAATATAAAGATTTCTTTTTTCATATTAGTAGTTGAAACATGGACATTAGCTAAAGCTCAAATACAAAAAAGACAACTCAACAAAGCCATAGTATGTAACTTTTTGCCAAAAATAGATTTAAATAAAAGCATGCTTTTTTGTTATGGATATTTTTTATTGCATTGCAAAACAATGAAAAATGTGAGCAGTTTGCATCTCCACAAAACGGACATTTATTCAGCCACATGGAAGAACTCCCCCTGCCTTTTCCATGGAAAAGTTGTTCCTTTAGCTATAATCTTCCACAATATAGCACAAAACGTCTGTCTTCTATCACAGTTGACTTTGCGCCCTCAGAAAGTTACATACTATTACTTTAAAGAAAATTGCTATTTAAAAAATGCTTAGTTACTTGTCAGAACATAACTGCTGGAACTGGATGTGTCATGACAGGAATATAAAAACAAAAATATCTTTTTACATTTGTCATGTAGGATAAGCTGTGCCTGCCTCATCACATCTTGGAGGAGCGTGGCCTTGTGAATGTGGGGATGACTGTCCAAGCCTTATTGGACCTGCCCACCTCAAAGAGTGCACTGGCTGCTATATGACACTGAGTGAATGTCTGTAGTCTGTAGACCACCAAGCCCTCACAGCCCCTGTCCCATAAGAGAGGGTCCAGGGAGCCCTTTGGTGAGGACCCAGAGGTGTGTGCACGTGCTGAGTGTTTCTGACAGATTCAGGACTTTAGACGCTCCTCTGTCTCTGATATGACGTCAGCATGGCTCTCATCCTGCACACACTTGTACCTGTACTGTACCCCATCCTGCTTTAGGACTTGCCTGTGTGTGCTTGTGCGTGCGGACTCCATACTAAATGCACAGAAAAAGGTTTTTGACTGGAGAAGTGTAATATGAGACCTGTATAGCCCTCTAAAATGCTCAGTAATGAATGATTATTGAGCCTGCAAGTGCCAGAACTGCAGTGGTGAAGACATGGGGCACAGACTAAGGACTGACAAGATTCTGCCATTTTTTACACTGTTTTTCATCACAGAAAATGTTTTTATGCTATTGCCAAACACGGTGCCAGCTTGTATTAGATATGTTTTGTTTCTTGCTATTGTTATTTATTTCCTGTATGTACTGTACAGACCTGTATGCATCACAGAGAAGATGACATTTGACCACTGTGATCAATGTGCACAGCTGAGGCCAAACTCTTGTAGCTTTTATTTCAATTTCATTTCAAACATTTCTTTTTTATTTAAGCCTACCACAGAAAGTCATACACTGGACTGCTCTGGTTTACCTTGTACTGTACATGTCTATCAGGCATGATCCATGCTGTCGATTGTTTCTGATACAAATGTTAAATCAGGGAATGTAAATGTTTAATCTATTTCTTAATTTGTTTTATATTTATGGGTTTTACAATGTACATACAATTTCCCATATGTGTATATCTCAAACAAAACTGTTTTGAAAGACATCAGATTACATAAACTTACTTTACAAACTACATTTTTGATTGTGATTACAATTATTGAGCTTTACCCCCAGAGAAAAAGCCAACTTCGATATGGACCATGAATTAAATTTGTTTGGCACTATTAAGATCATTGGCTGCGGTCACATTCTTACACTTAGCACACATTAACTTAACAATTCTTGCTGTTGTGGTTTTCTGATAACTTTTGAGCAGCTGTAGCTACAATTGCTGATCCAAACATCTGACTGTGACGCACTGTGCCTTAAAGAGGATTAATTTTTCTTTCTGGAATATGACCATGAATTTATCAGTGTCTGTTTTGTGAAATCATTGTTATTTGCTTCAATTACTTATTCTATTCTGTATTGTTGGTGGTTATCACAAAAGACACGATGTTGAAGAAAATAGTGCCAGAAACTGGGCTTCCAATGCAATGGAAAAATGCTGCCTTATTGTAACCTACAGACCCTAACATTGGACACCATAGCTTCATCATTAGAAAACCTAATAGTAGGGTAAAAGTAATTGTTTGCATACTGATTTCTGTTTTTTAAGATGGAGGATCTTCCTGCCATATTTATTTGGGATTGTTTCACACTTTTAAACTGCACTTGTTTATGGGCAAGATAAAATGATGGCTCGTGGATGTTAGACCAGCCCTTAAAACTCTCTCTCAGCACATTTTCTTACTTTATCTTTGAATAACTTCGGGATTTCGGGGAAAATATTGACTTGTACATGTCATGCCGAGGGTGAAGCTCAGTATCCCATCACTCTTCCCACCATTTTGACTTTGTGTGCAGTAGGTTGCAATATTTGTTTTACTTTGTGTTACAGGTAAAATTGTCATTTTCACAGAAGATTATCATTGCAGTCATGATACAACTGCCTGGAAAAATTTGTAAAGAAAAACAGTTAGGCACGTCTTTATGCAAAACTGCCAAGACATTTTTGTATTTCAACCAGGATGCATGCAAGGGCCACACAGTTGAAATCATTGTACATATCATGTGTAAAATAGGACTTTCTTAAGAGTAAACATGGGACAAATGAAATAAAGTTGATTCTTTGCAGTGCTCTTGTATTTTCTTGTGGCCCAAATGACCCTTATTTAAATAGGCCTACCCTGCAATGCTGTTTGCCTAAATGACCAGGCTAAATGATCTGGTAGGAGTATAAATTAAGTATATTTGTTTTTCCTGAAATGCTTTCATCTTATATTTTGTGTGATTTTAGACTGAAATTTGTCTCTATAAAACATAAAATAACAGAAGATTCCTCACCAAACTTCTTTCTTTAACAATATAACAATATAATATGCCTACGCCATCACCATAGCTGTGTGACTTATTTATTTATTATTATTCTTTGCTGTTGGACATTAATTTAACTCCCCATTGATAAGAGATCTGGTGCTTTCTTGGCGGGATTCATTTCACCAGTTTGCGGTTAAGCTCCAGTTCCAGTGAAGAGACACTCCCTGGAAAAGGCGCAGACTCTAATAAAAGCCTCACGCACCAGCGAGTCCCAAACTGTTTCCCGGACTGCGCGCATAGGTTTCAGAAAAATTTAATTAAATACATTTTTTCTTTGACATTATTTATTCTGTTTTTATGAATTGGCATATTCAAGACTAGTTCAGTCTGCATGTTTTAGTGTTATATTTTTTGACGTATTTGGGATTTAATGATGGCTGGAAAAACGCTGCAGGTGTTGCTTTTAATTAGTTTGAAGTTCGTCTACAGCACAGGTTGGTCACTGATTTAGAGTTATTATTAGTACACAAAAATAATGTTATTAATAACGCGAAACGAAATGTAGATCCTGTTTAGACAAATATAGCCTAGGCTACTGTCGCTTTTTTCCATTTAATGAACCCTTTATGTTGATCCAAAGCAATTTAGATTTTGGAATGAAAACGGTGACATGGATGTAAGGTGATTTACTTCTTTCCTGCAGTGGACCCTCCTCGAGACCTGACCATAACGGACCCGGGGCACTTAGGAAACCTGGAGATCCGCTGGAGCCCCTCACAGGAGCAAGTCCGGATGAAGGAGCAGGGCCAGTGCTTAGTGCTCTATGAACTGCACTATTACGACAGCTACAGCAGCAGCTGGACTGTGAGGCTCCATTCAGTATAGACTCATTACAGTCAAATACTAGCCACTCTATTATTTTAATGTTGTGTTTTTCAGAGTATAAGGACGACCCAAACTTTATTCAGGGCCCAGTTTAATCTGGCCCGGGAAGTGAAAGTTCGTGTTTACACTGTTATTTCTGGAGCCTGTGCAGGAGGTGGAACAGCCAAAAGTAAAAACTACACCGAAGTAGTTCAAAAACCAGACATGACAGGTGAGAACATCACATCATCAGGGTGACAGTTTCCATAGACACTTAAATTGAGGACACACTACGTTTTAGTCATCAGTTTTTCTGTATTTCCTTAAGGCATAGATGGTCTCCAGGATTTCTCTTGTCTGTACTATTACATGGAGCACCTGGTTTGCAGCTGGAAGAGAAGCTCAAAGATGCCATTGAAGGCACAAGGGGCACTCTATTACTGGTGGGTGTTTTGAGATTGCATTGTCTTAAATCAATTTTTATGCATTTGAACAATTAAGATACATCAAAATGGGGTTTTGTATATGGTGAGTCAAAAGCGAGATCATGTGGGATCAGTAGCTATTCATTCTGTTAAGAACACTTAAGCACTGCAACTGAGATGATGAAGTGTATTTGATTTTTTGTTTGTTCTGAAGTTGTAAAATGTCTGGTGTGATTCATAATGTGCAGCCACCTTATCTTTGTGTTGTTTCTTTGTAGGCACAAAGAGATGGCACATGCAAAAGAGTGCCCACACTACTTTATTACTGGTGGTTTTAGGAATGGCTGTAACTTCTCTGGAACAGATTTACCCGCTTTCTCTGACATTAACCTGTGTGTGAACTCATCTTCAGACCACTCCATCAAACCTCTATACTCCATGCTGCAGATCCAAAACATTGGTAATTGACCGTGTGACACTATCTGCAGTTTACTGTTTGTGACGATATCGACCTTTTATGCATTGTTATGTTTCAGTGAAACCTAAACCGCCAGAACAGGTGCGTGTGGAGGAGGGTGCAGACAGGCAGCTGATTGTACACTGGGACAGTCCCGCAGGGAGGATACCCCAGCACTGTCTGCTGTGGCAAGTTCAGGCCAGAAGAGAGGGCCAGGAGGGTGCACACACTCTGGTACATACTGTTTAAATAATCAATTAAGATTTGGCTCTAACTTCTAACTTCCTGCTGATACCCAGTATCAGCTAATACCTTACTTATAAAATGTAAGTAGTCTTCTTATCTATTTAAAGGCCCAACCATGATATCTGCTGAACTGATATCATAGAACTGATCCCCAGTCCACTATTTAGTTTATTTGCTGTTACAGAAACATTAAGTTACTGAAAGAGACTACTGATGCAGAAGTAACGATGTTTTTCATCTTTTAATAAAATTAAATTCTTGTAATTCTATGTACACTTTGTCGCACAAAATTATGAGGCACCAGTGTGATCTTTAGGGATCCCTTATCATCATTGTTGTATTTCTTCTCATATTTTACAAGACCACATTCATTCATGACTCAGACGATCCAGACATTGTGTTTGTATTTGTGGAAAAACCTTGGCAATGAGAAAGGTGTTTTCTTTGAGGATCAAAAAGGCACTGAGCCATTTTCCCAGCAGTCATTTGTGAGTCATGTTATTAAACTTATAACTAGCCATTAAAAACCTTGGTCAAATTGGAGAGCAACGTGTATGACACATTTGTTTCTTCCTTTCCCAAACAAATAATAAATGCAATAGGGTTTTTAATTTGAGTACAGTAGATCAATCAGTCTTAATCCCTATCAGTTTTAATCCTTATTATTACCAGCCTTGAACTCAATAAGGTACTGATGTCAGGACAAGCTGAATAGAGTGACAATCAATGACAGTTTCTTTCATGCAAACTTTGGCTTCTGTTTTTTCTTCCAACTACAGATCCCCTCCACAGAAACAGCAGTCATGTTTGCTCTTCCAGATAATGAGACCAGCTGTCTGAGAGTTCGCTGCATGTTGAATAAGTATTGTGCCAAGACTGGTGTGTGGAGTGACTGGAGTCCGTCCGTGTGCTACCCAGGTATAGACAAGGCTGCTGTGCAGAGTATTGCTACATAAAGAGAATACTACATAAGTACATGGCAGCATAGTATCAGTTTGGTTACAAGTGAAACAGAAAACACACACTAAAGTTCTTGTAGAGGTGTGAATGCAAGGAACAGCAAATTAAAAGTGAAAAAATTGGCCCATGTCCAAAAAGTATTATTTTTATTTTTAAATAATGTTTCAGCAAAAAGCCTTTGTCAGATATTTTTTCTTGATGTGGACCACAGTACACAAAATGGTTGCTATTTGCCAATAACCCCCTCTAATGAATACAACAAGAAAAAACAGTTACATATTTACATTAAAATACAAAAATAGTTTGGCCATGCCACAAACATGTGACATCTACATTGAAGCCCATCCACTCAACCTTCTGCCTAAAAAAGACTATAGTAAATGCATGTTTTATTTATTTTTATTTCACTGAAAAATGTAGAAAAACATGCATCCTTGCTGTTAATGGGGCTTGCATCTCCATAGACCTGGGGTTCCAAATCTTGTCTTGAATTTTCAGTATGCATTGTGTGTCTGGGGTATTCATTGCCTCACTGCCTTGTTTCTGTACAGTGTGTGTTTATTAAGCTTCTATTAAGTTTCTATTAAATAATACAGTTGGCAAACAACCTATGCCTCTCTCAGTGTCTTTCCTTACAGACGTATTGCTTAAGAATACAAACAAAAGGACAAAGTAAATACGGATTATGTATCCACTTCAGTACATGGTTGGGCTGTGTTTTTGTTTTTTTTGTATATGACTTGGCTCACCTCTTTCTCATTATTCTAGAGAAACCATGCCCAGCATCTTTACCAAGCCAGGACATGTTTCCTAAGTATACTGCAATCACCATCATCATGGGCCTTGTGCTAGCTTTGTGCATGTGGACTCTCATCAGACTGTAAGCACCACAAACACGTGTAAAAAAAATATATATATAAAACTATATATATAATATATAGAGAGAGCAATATTTGTTTGAATTTCAGGAGACTGTTGAAACAAGTGAAGAAAAGGGAAGCATCACTCATCACCCTGTTTGACAAGAGCTCAGCCAAGATCATACCAGTGGTTCAGCACATTTAATTGTGAAATCATGTGAAATTATTTTATGCAAAATTTAGCTTTAGATTTTTATGTTAGACTCGCACATGTTTACTCTTAATGTGTTACATGTTTGTTTGCATGTTTACACAAGGGGGGTATTCCCTTGTAAGTGTTTTAACAAATCTAGGTTTATCCTGAAATCCTGAGCTGAATCTAGCACCATCTTTAGCTTAAGCTTAAAGTTGTTCTATGACAGAAATAAGCCTGAGTCTGACCAAAGCTAAGTAAGGCCTGGAGTTTGAGCACTTTGTGCATGCTTGCAGAGAGTCTGGGAAGGCCAGAGCAATGGAGCAACAACATCACAGAAAGTGGGTCAAAAATGTGATGTTTTTTTATGATCTGACTAAACGAGAGAGGAGCCACAGTGCGCACCCACAGAGTTTGATTTGGACCACTGAACTATTCCAGTCAATCTGATCTGAGGAGCGAGAGGAAAGACATGACTCCCCCCATCTTAATCGATTTCGCTGTGCATAAAAGTAAAGCTGTAACGGACCTCTTCTTATGTACCCAAACATGAAACGATTAAATCCACACAAAGCTGTTTGCAGTTTGACAGGGAGCGAGAGACTAGGGAATGATGAAAGAGAGAGACAGATGTGATGAAGGAGAGCACAGACAGAACCCACTGAAAACCAGTTCATTCTCAGAGTCCAATCCAGTGTCTGTAAAAGCTACACTGCCCTTCACAACAGCCACATGTGCAAGATCATTTTAATAAAATGCTGGCCATAGGCTTTTATATGGTTCAACTGTAGACAGACACAGGTGTGTGAGTGCATGTGCTGAAACTTTTGACTAAACTGTTTCTTTAGATGTTCTTAGAGACAAAGCCAAAATAATCTTGACAGCCTGGAGGGTATTCCACAAAGTGAGCTAAAACGAAAGCCTGGTTTATTTGGCCAATTCAGGCTTATCAAAGCCTCAGTTCCAATTGACTAACCAGAGGTGGACAGGACCAAGCTAAATGTCAAGATTATTTTAGCTCTGTCTCCAAGAACATCTAAAGAAACAGTTTAGGACTTTGACTGTCCATATGCTCCTACACATGGGAGACACGTCTGTGGGCACAGCACTCATCAGAAAGGCTCAAACCATATAAAAGCCTAAGACCATTACTTCATTAAAATGATGTTGCACATGTGACTGTTGTGAGGGGTAGTGCAGCTTTTACACATAGACAGACACTGGTTTGGACTCTGAGGATGACAGTGGGTTCTGTTTGTTTGCTCCTTCATCATGTCTTTCTCTCTCTTCATTCCCTTGTCTCTCGCTCCCTGTCAAACTGCGAACACCTTAGCGCGGATTTTATCGTTTCTTGTTTGGGTACATGTGAAGAGATCTGTTACAGCTTTACTTTTACACACAGCAGAACTTAAGCTCTGCACATACTACCGTGCATCAGGAAGGGGTCAAGCAACTTCATTCGTCTTGCTCCTCAGATCAGAATGACCAGAAAAGTTCCGTGGCCCAAATCAGACTCTGTATTTGCGCTGGGGCTCCTCTGAGGCTTTGACAAGCCTGAATTGGCCAAATAAGCCAGGTTTTGCTTTAGCTAGCTTCATGGAATACCCTCCAGATGAACTGCAGTTTATATTGTTTTGTTGATGATTGTATTGAGTTCTTACTTGAGCGTCTATTTTGAGCATGTTTACAAGGTCAAATGCCACAGTTCTTGCCATTTCTGTATGTTTAGTGTCTAACTTACAGAGAAAGCCTCAATAATGTAATTATGTTAACATGTCAAACAGAAACAGGATTTTAGGTAGACTGCTATTGTGTTGTGATAATGTCATCATTATTTATTGGCAATTATATATTGAATTTTGAATACTGCTTTAAATAAAATTCATAAAATCTTTGTCACTTCTGAAATATAGTATAAACAATGTAACTATGAGTTTCATATTGTTGCAGAGTACAGTTATTTTTCTCATGAACAAATACAGGCAGGTAAGTTAGTGGTCAACTCTTGCGTCAACATCTATTTTGATTCCGTTGCCCCATTCTTGTACATTATTTAAATGTATTGTATTGTTATATTAAAAGTTACACACATTGAAATGTGTTTTGAGAACATGTCCATGTGGCTCAGCGCTGATAATGAGTTTGTCTGATAAAACTTCTGGACACAAGGTCAGAGTCTGAGCATCTGTCTGATTCCCACAGAGGACCACACCTTTGAGTCTTACAGGGGGCATGGTTTTCCCTTTCTGTTTGAAAACCTAATATAAAATGCTGCTTTTGTAGCAAGAAAAGCAAGTACTAGTAGAGTTTTGAGGTACAATATTACAAGATCTTTACATGTCATTCACGTTTCACCTCAGAAAGTAAGAAGCCCATGTTTACTTCTTAAATGTGCCCTAGGGTCTGCAAACTAAGTGTCTCCATGGAGATGTTATTCCTTTGCCTGGAAAGTTCCATAGTATGGCATTAAACTAATATATCTGCATGGAGACAAGATGATGCAGGTCAGATCTGTGGAGGGGTGAACTTGCTTACAGTAAGATCACCTGTATTAGAAAGTGTTTTAGATAGACCTTTGTTGTCCCCAAGGACTCAAAAATTTATTTTCACACGTGTTTTAACAATAGGCGGCAAATCCTTCACCAGAAATGTTACATAGTGCACCTTTTACATTAGGTAAAGAAGATGCAAATGCAAAATAACCATTCTTCACTTAGATTCTATCTTCTCTCACTTGGGACAGTTCTCAGAAAGGTAACTTCCCACAGGTTAATGTGTAATTTTGGTGGAGCTAGAATCTGATAGAAGTTTGGTGGGAAGCTAATGTATAGCCAGGGAGTTAGTGTCCTGTTCATTTTGCTGTTGCTGAAAAACGCAGATGGGCTGAGGACGGCTGACTTTCCAAACAATGTAAGTTTGTGTGAGTTTATTCATATTTGTGCAGAAAATGGTACAGTTTTCAGAATTATAATTCCCAGGACACCTCCACGCCTTGCCCTGTCCCCCTGGATCAGTAACTGGAATCTGTCCCTGCATTGAACAGAGCGCAGGGCCTGAGCAGTTACTGCACCAGAGCGCCAGCACATGCTCCGTCAGCCAGCCCATCTATGACATGATACGTAGATATATAATGTATATGGGTGATTATGCAAACATTCGCTGTTATCAGCGGACAGAGGAAGCAGAAACCTGAAATGTGACAACAGCTAAGGCAAGTTTAAGTTAATTCAAAGACCTGAGGTTTTCAACTGTGTAACTGTGCCAATATCATACAAGTAGGCCTTGTTGTCAGTGGTACAAATAGTTAAATTATTATTATTAATTATTTAGTTATTTAATACTACTACTACTACTCCTACTACTACTACCTACTACTACTACTCCTACTACTCCTACTACTCCTACTACTACCTACTACTACTACTACTACTAATAATAATAATAATAATAACAAATTAGATTCATTATTTTAATTAGATATTTTTGCTTAATTGAAAAGCAGTCTTGCATAGGGCTTTTCATAGACATTGGGCCCAAAAATGAAAAATAACAAAATAACAAAAGTAACAAAAACAACAACAACAAAAAACAACAACTTTGACTTCTTTCAGCTATCATCTCTCTATGACCAACTATTTCTCAACCACCTATATTAATATTGTTGTCATCACATTGATATATGGGTAAATAATCTTGTCAAAGTAGTTTTGGCAACATTTTTCTGTTTCAGTTTGAAGACTCAATTGTGTAATGCGACTGTCAGGCGAATTTAAGTGCACTTACATAATCTCAACATTAGATGGCGTAGTGCATAAGAATTGCTCTGGGTGTGGCCCAAAGAGCTGTGTTTACAAAACTGGGGTCTCAAGGCAATCGTTTTTTTCTACTTCTGATTCTGACAGAAATATACTTTAATACATATTTTTATAGTAATAAAATACAAGTAACCACAGCCTTGAAAAGTGTCATTATTAAAGACATTATTGTGGTTGTGGGTGAACACAGCACACAAGGACTCTGCTCAGAAGCGACTGAAAGTTATCCAGCCTTCGAAGTAAGAGGATAGATCAATGGCTAATAATATTACAGAAATGAATAGTACATGAACATGCATTGCATTCTTCAGTCTGATGTGTAGCTTTAGCACAGGTGTCCACTGCAGAGCACAGTGGAGAGCCCTGCTGTTTGGCCTCTTTGATCTTAGTGCACCTCTGGGTGAAGGGGCATCAATAGGAATGTGTCCTTGTCTCTTCACTCTTACATCTTTGAGTTTAAAGGTAAAAAAAAACAAAACACATGCTGCAGAGCTATAATCACACCTGCTTAGAACTACTCAAGTTTATTTACTCCATGTAGAAATACTGTACACATTTACATTGTCCATAAACTATTAACACTTCACTGCTCCTACAATATTGTACATTACAGTGTACTTATTTAAATTTCTAACAATCCTTAGATAATATTACAAGCAAGAACAACCTTTCTATAAGCAGAAAATAAAGCTATAAATACATTAATAACACGCCTCACAATTTTTCAACAAAGTACATAAAAATAATTGCATGTTCATCATTCGGGTCTGATATGTATGCTTGTGTCTCTCTAAAAATAGAGATTCAATTTGAAAAAGAAACGTCCAGCTTCTGTGCCTGTACCTACCCAGAATTCACTGCGCCCTAGAAGGGGCAGAAGTCCGCACAGGCCTGTCCTAAATTAGACCCTCTACCCTGTGTAAAAATAGGACAGAGTGGTGGGTGCATGCTTGCATGTAGACTGCAGGGAGTGAAGGGTGAGGAAATCAAGCACTCCCTTTGTCACATGGTGTGACTGAACAGACTCAGTACATGGCATCTTCGTAGATGTCGGTGCGCAGGCAGAAGAGGATGCCCCCACCCAACATGAAGATGGTGGCCCCCCAGCCCAGACCGTAGCCCCAGTTGAACTCATGGTATGTCTGAAGAACTGTGCCATCGATGAATTTGATTGGGTACAGCACCAGAGCACAGGCCTGCAGCACCACTGGAAAAAAGCAGTACAAATATTAAATGTAAGTGAGTTGTTACATTGGTCAGTTACATCTATTTAAGGAAATGAACTGGATACTCCTGAGTAATATGTTTTACAATGTAACAGTATTCTGTTGACAATATTTAATGATTTGAATATTTATGATTCTTATGCTGTTCCTTCAGATATAATTTGGGTTTTTCTTATTTTTGTGGTCCATTCTTAAAATACCAGATCATTATTTAATGTTCTGTCCTTCCAATTGCATTAACTTTAAATTTTATGTAATTAGATCACCCAGTTATTCTTACAATGACTTTTACTTGGTTATCCCAGCCCAAATACTATTTTACTCCACTTGAGTAATTTCTTAGTTCACTGCTTTGTACATCTACATAAGTTAAATTACTTTGCAGTAACGCATTTTTGGCTACTCTACCCTACTACCAGCACCCTGGCTA